TAGGGAAAGGAGGAGCCATGGACTGGGTGGCATGAAGCATCGCTGGCACTCACCTGACTCTGCCACCTGGGAGATGTCAACACCCTGCTCAGACGCCATGAAGCCCAGCACAGAAAACACCACGAAGCCAGCGAAGAAGCTGGTCGAACTGTTGATGACAGCCAAGATGTAGGCATCCCTGTAAGGGGTGTTCAGGTTAATAGGCAAAAGCCCACCGGCACCAGCTGATACCAGAGGTCCTCAGCCTTGCCCCTGCTCCAACTCACAGCAGAGGCCATGACGCTTCTGGATCTGGAAGTCCTTCCCCCTAAACCCCAACTGCCCAGGTGGCTGGATATGGTGGAGGGAACGCACTCTGCACACGTTCAACTGCACTCTTCCGTTATGTCACATATTCTGGGCTGAACCTTGGCACGAAAACCTTGGAGACTCAAAATTAAGGCTATCTACAATCGAAGGGCAAGACTTTCGGGGTGGGAAAGAAGATTTCTTCCACCGTGCACAGGATGATGAGTTCAAGGGTGGCTACAAGAAGCTTGATGTTGCAGCAGTCAGGCCACAGCAGCGGCTACCTGACTTCTAGCCAGGAGGAGCTTTTCTCCTGCAGCCCAGCATTCCTGGACAAAAAAAAAAATCTCACTGGTGCCCTGGGGTAGGCCAGAGGGGCATTTTAAGTCACTCATGTATATGCTATCAGAGACTAATGGTGCAGGGCCAGGCACTTCCGTTTCTTCCTCTGCTGCTAACTCCACACACAACGTCCTTCCTGCTGTCTAGGCAAAGTACACTGCGCAAACGTTAAAGTTATTTTTTTTCTTATTTGGATGATAGCCTTTGGACATTTGTCTGCGTATGGAAAGTGGGGTTGGAAATGATGCAGGGAATGAAGGAAATGAGCAGGTCTGTGTGTACTCTGGATTGCAAAGGGGGAAAAGGAAAGAAAGAAGGATCTGCATCAAGCCAAGTCGGATTCTGTCATCTGGAAAGGTTATGCAAACTGACGGCATTTACATATATTTGCATGTGTTATGTAGTTTATTCTTCTCTGCCAGGCATCGGGAGAATGCCACATCCCCTCGACCACAGGAGATCCTTCGCAGTGGGCACACGGTCACTCAAAACAACATGTTCTGAGGTTTCACAGTTTCAATCCTGCCGGTGTAGCCAAGGCTAGAAACCCGTGCCTCGTTCAAACGAGAGCTGAAGTTTTGCAGGTTGCACACGGCATTCTGAACTTGCTCAGAATGGCAGAATACACACAGGCTTGGAAATAAATGTGCGGGAAGATGATCGGGTTCAGGAGCAGAGTGGGCAAAACGTGCCGCTTTTAAAAAAAAGTGCATTAAAAAAGAGCTCTTTTTTAAAAGGCTGGAATTGGAAACAGGTTTTTTTTTTAATGACATTGAAGAGCCGATTATCTCAGGGTTCAGACAAAGCCAGCAGATTCCAAGTTACGGTACTGAGAGCCATGGGGAATCTCTAGAAACCCATGTGCGGGTGGGGCCTCACCTGTAGCAGTTGTTGTGGAAGCGGTTGTAGCTGCCAAGGGCGGTCAGGGCTCCCAGCCCAATAGCATATGAGAAGAAGATCTGGGTACCAGCATCAATCCATACCTGAGATGAGGGGAAAAGCTGTGGTATGAACCCCACCAAGTGGGGGGGGCAGAACTCTTGCTTGCATGGCCTGGGCTGGCCACCAGAGGGCAGTGGTGGTTACAGGCAAGGGCCTCCTTCCCTGCCCAGACCTCAGCTACAGCCTCTTGGCTTCCCGGTCACTTCCTCAAAAAGGAAAGCTTCCGTAGCCCTCTTTCCGTCAGGGCAAGCGTGTCCCGATCCTTACCTGTGCCACGGCAAGCTTGGACCAATCAGGTTTCAGGTAGTAGACGATGCCATCAAGTGCACCAGGCAAGGTCACCCCATGTAAGAGCAACAGGATCAGAACCACGTAGGGGAACAGAGCAGTGAAATAGACGACCTGCCGAAACAACATATATATGATACGATAAGAATGCCACAACACTGTCCTTGTGGGCTGCCATAAATGGCTGCTGGACAGAGTTCGGCTTGGCAATTCATTAAATATGGCTGCTTGGATCGAGGAAGGAAGGATCAGGGTCACATAAACAGGTACTAGACTAAGACATCATGGGAAGTATAGTGGTTAGAGTGTCAGAGTGGAGCTTCCTAGGTGATGTCAGACCTGTCACTCTCTCAGCCTAACCCTACCTCACATGTTCATTGCAAGGATCAAAGGAGAAAGAGAGAATGATTTACGCTACCCTGAGATCGTTGGAGGAAGGACAGGATAAAAATTTACTAGACAGACAGAAGCAGTATCATGAAAAGAGAGTGATCGATGGCTACCAGATGCCTCATCACTGGGAGAAATCCCCTCTCAGCCCTGAAGCTTACTAGGTGACACTGGGAGAGTCTCTCTCTCTCTCTCTAACCTATCTCACGGGGGGGGGGAGATCGGATTTATGCCCCCACCCTTCACTACCCAAAGGAGTCTCAGAGCCGTTTACAATCGCCTTTCCCTTCCCCTCCCCACAACAGACACAACAGACCCCCACCCTAGGTGGGGCTGAGGAGAGCTCTGAGATAACTTTTGAGAAGTGCTCATGAGAGAACAGCTCTGAAACAACTTGTAACTGACCCAAGGTCACACCACCAGCCCCGCAATCACATCTACTATTGTTGTCATAGAGGGCTATCCTGAATATAAAATAGAGGAAAGGGGAACAATATACATTACAAACTGAGCTCCCTCGAGGGAAGGGTATCATAAAAATCTGTAGACAGGTCAAGACCAATGCTCCCTCTAAGCTGTGGAGTCTTGTGAGCAAAAATTCTGCTTTGCAAGCTACTGGCATTAAAGTTGTGAGCGAGCAATTTGGCTACTGCATAAATTAGTTTGCTCCGGAGCCATCCTTCCTGAGCTAAGACAAAAATGTGTGAGCCGGAGGCTAAAAAACTGAGCCAACTCACACTAACTCAGCTTAGAGGGAACACTGGACTGTCTCTGATTCCTGCAGCCCAAGTAAACAATTGACTATTATTGGTAGCAAGGGAATAGTGTCACTTATTTCTTTCACTTCCATTGGTCATCCGTATCATGTATGACCTCACCTGACATGCTGCCAAGAGTCAGCAAAGGCACTGGTCATGTGAACACTCTCCCACAGGCATCGATTCCAGATATATATGATACTAGTTGCATCTCAGTGAATGTTTATGTAAATATTTGTACCCAACTTTTCTCCCTAACTTTCCTCCCAAAGAGGTCTGCATCATTCTTCTCCCCTCCTTCATTGTGTCCTCACAACAACCACCCCTTGAGATGGGCCAGGCTGAGAGTGTGACGACTGGTCACCCAGTGAGCTTCCGGGGCAGAGCGGAGATCTGAACCTGGATTTCCCTAGATCCTAGTCTACTACACCATGCTAGATATTTTACTGACTACTGGTTATCAAGGGTCATTTCCTGCAGGAGCACACAGGAGCGGAGCTCCGGCAGTAAAGAGCCCAGGGGGTGGGTACATGCAACAAGCCCCACACCCCGCTCCCAGCAGCCCTCAGTCAGAGCAAGAAGCAGCCAGGTAAGTTGCAGAGCCCCCCGGCCCAAAACATTCCAGTGGCACCTTTAAGACCAAGTTTTATTCAGGTACAAGCTCTCCCTCCTCTGTGAGGGCAGATCTGCACGTTCCCCCCCCCCCCAATAGCTAGCAATCCAAAAGAGTCCACTGGAGCCTGAGCGGTGGGTGTTGCCTTCTGACACACTTCCGGTGATGCCAGGGGGTGTGGCGTATGCAAATAAGTTATGCTAATGAGTTATGCTAATGAGTTATGCTAATGAGCTCCTGGGCCTCTTTTTCTACGAAATGACCCCTGCTGGTTATACAACATTCTTCCACACCCCACAACAATCACACCTGCCAGTTGTTGACCTACAGGGCTGTGTATGTAACTTCCGACAAGAGCTAAGGACACCGAATGTTACGCCACCAGTGGTATTAACTACCATGAGGAAATGGTTGTGCATGAGGCCTGTTTCTACAGCATAAAAACCAGCATGTGGTAGGGTTGCCAAATGCCAGGTGGGGCCTGGAGATCTCCTGGAAGTAGAACTGATCTCCAGACGACTGAGACCAGTTCCCCTGGAGAAAATGGCTGCTTTGTGGATTCGACAGCATTACGCCCTGCGGAGTGCCTTTCCCAAGGTTCCTCCAGAATCTCCAGGTATTTCCCAACCCAGAGCTGGCAACCCCAGCATGGGGTCAGGTTTCATGTAGTGGTTCACTTTTTGCTCTCAGCCATTCCCACGTTGATGGGATTCTGCCTTAGGGAGATAAGTTCTGTCCCCTTTATTATCCGTGTCAAGACAGAATTGTTTCAGACATAACTCCAAACCACAGTTTGACATAAACACAAACCCCACAGTTCACATACTTCTGCCACTGCCTTGTTTCTCTCTCCCCACCCCCACCAGGCAATTAGTTACTTCCTCCAGAGCATACCACACAGTTTCCCCTTTCACGTCTGAACTGGCAGACTTGCAAACCACAGCCTGAATCGACTTTGAAATCCCGGTTTGCAAACCTGTTTCCACTGTAGTTTGGTGTTACATCTTCCATGAACTTCCCTCTCCCTGCAAAACACACACACACACCCCTGTAGAAACACCCTTTACCTTCCCAGTGGACTTGACACCCTTCCAAATGCAGAAGTAGACAATGATCCAAGTTGTGAGCAGGCAAAGGATGAGCTGCCAGCTAAGGTCTCCTGGTTCGGCAAGGTCCCCTGAAATCCGCAGCACCTTGTTTCTAAGGCAGTTGGGGAAGGAAATAAGATCAATGCATAGTCTGAGAAGGAGAATCGAACAGGATACCCTCTCCTCTGTACATATCCAGGAAGGGTTGCCAATCTCCAGGTGGTGGCAGGTGATTTCCTGGGATTATGACTGGTCTTCAGGTTACAGGGACCAGTTCCCCAGGAGAAAATGACTGCTTTGAAAGGTGGACTGTATGGCATTGTATCTGACTGAGGTTCCTCCCCTTCCCAAACCCCTCCCTCCCCAGGCTCCACCCCCAAAATCTTCAGGTATTTCTCAATTCAGAGCTGGCACCCCAATATCCAGGGCTGGCCTACCATTTAGACAGGGCATGATGACTCGCCTAAAGTGACAAGTGTTGGGGTACAATTAAGGGACAGCAATGGGGCAATAATTGGAAGGGGTTTTTTACCACTACATTTGGATTTTATTCCTTGGGACTTGCCCTTTTTAATCACTCTTCTCCCACATTCTCATCCACCTCAGTCCACTCATTCTGCCTCACAGTGGCCATCTAGAAAACCATATCCATAGGGTTGTCAACCTCCAGGTGGTGGCTGGAGATCTCCTGGCATTACAACTGGTCTCCAGGCAACAGAGATAAGTTCATCTGGAGAAAATGGCAGCTGTGGAAGGTGGACTCTATGGCATTATAGTCCACTGAAGTCCCTCCCCTCCCCAAATCCTGCCCTCCTCAGGCTTCACCCCCCCCCCAAAATCTCCAGGTATTTCCCACCCAGAAGAGAAGAAGAGAAGAGATTGGATTTATACCCCGCCCTTCACTCGGAGTCTCAGAGCGGCTTACAAACTCCTTTCCCTTCCCCTCCCCACAACAAACACCCTGTGAGGTGGGCTGAGAGAACTCTGGCAGAAACTGCTCTTTTTCAAGGACAGCTGTGCCAGAGCTTGTGACTGACCCAAGGTCACATCAGCAGGTGCAAGTGGAGGAGTGGGGAATCAAACCCGGTTCTCCCAGATTAGAGTCCGCACACTTAACCACTACACCAAACAGAGCTGGCAAGTCTACATATCCCCCCCCCCCTGAGACCCACACCCATGGCAGGCTTTCCGAGAGCCACTTCACTCACTCCCAGAACTCGATGATGGGAGATCGCTCGTCAGTCAGGTTGCTGCAGTTCCTGGCGGTGCCGTTGGTGCTGTTGCTGCAGACGCTGTGACCGAACATCTCGGTGCACTGCGGAGTGTTCCAGGAGTGGCCACACGTGGCCCAGGGCAGGGTCTCGGTCAGCGAGTGCACCAGGTAGAAGAGGCCCCAGACCAGGATCATGATGTAGTAGGAGTTACAGAAGAAGACAATGACCATGGAGGCCAGGCCCAGCCCTGGAGAGAAAGAGCTGGTCAGACTCAGAAGGGTTCCCCCCCCCAAAAAAAAAGGTATGAGCCCCACACATGCCCCACTACCCAGTGTTCTCCTAGCCAAACTGCAAAACTGAACTGAGCAGCTGACGGACAGGGTGTGTGCCTTCAGCAAAAACTGCAAAACAATGTACAGACAAGGGGAACCCAAGTTCTGTATCCAGATAATATATTTAAAACAACTTGCTTACTTTGCATAAATAATTCTGCCTCTGTAAGCCAGAGGGAGTGGCATAGGTATACTGAAATCCCCACTTCCGTCCACCAGAAATCCTACTCAGCCTTAGGAGGCCAGCCTCCAGGTGGGACCTGTGGATCCCCCAGAATTACAGCTCCTCTTCAGACTACAGAAATCAGTTCACCTGGAGAAAGTGGATGCTTTGGAGGGTGGACTCTGTGGCCATTGAACCCCACTGAGGTCCCTGTCCTCCCCAGGCTCCACTCCCCAAATCTCCCAAAAGTTTCCCACCCTGGAGTTGGCAACTCTTCCCCTCCATCCCCTGCCGGTGACATGACAACCCTAACTCAATCCCAATATTGTTTCTGAGATTCTATGAGACATTGCCTGGTATTTTCAAGCTTCCTAGCCTTGAGGGCTAGAAACCTGGTATGCTTTTTTAAAAAATTAAAAAAATATATTCTGAATTCTGCACCTTGAATCAGGTAGGCTCTGCTCATTTCTTTTGTGGAATACTCACAGTCCTGGGAACGGTTAACAGACAATCCCAGCATGGCCACACATGTCAAGCTGGGTTTTGAAAAGTGTCTGGGGACCAATACGAAGCCGCTTGGTCAGCCCTTCCCCATTCACCGATGGCAACCCCATTGACCACAGCCCTCAAACATCACCCACTCACTCCCCCTCCCAATACACCCATGCCTGGAGCACTGCTTTTTTTGCTGATGAATATAGATGCATAGGCATTTTTGCATAAGAACAGCCATGGTGCCTGGTGCAGGAAGCTCAGATTAGGCAGTGAACCAGGACTCCCTGAAGGCAGGTCTATCCCTGAATCCATATGCAGGGGTCATTTCCTGCAGGAGCGCACAGGAGCGGAGCTCCGGCAGTAAAGAGCCCAGGGAGCGGGCACATGCAACAAGCCACACACCCCGCTCCCAGCAGCCCTCAGTCAGAGCAAGAAGCAGCCAGGTAAGCTGCAGAGCCCCTCCCAGCCCCCAGGTCCAAAACAGTCCAGTGGCACCTTTAAGACCAAGTTTTATTCAGGTACAAGCTCTCCCTCCTCTGCGAGATCTGCACGTCCCCCCCCCCCAATAGCTAGCAATCCAAAACAGTCCAGTGGAGCCTGAGCGGTGGGTGTTGCCTTCTGACACACTTCCGGTGATGTCAGGGGGTGTGGCTTGTGCAAATAAGTTATGCACCTCTTTTTCTACGAAATGACCCCTGTCCATATGTATTCCCTTCCAGCTGACTCTGTTGCCCTGCTATAGTCAAAGCTGCAAAGGCTCACAAAGCTATCAACAAGATGGGTGCAGGGTCAAAGCAAAAGCAACCCCCTCAGCCCAAGCTGTGGCTCAGTGGAAGAGTGGAAGTGCCTCTGCTTTGCATGCAGAAGGCTCCAGGTTCAATCCCCGGCATCTCCACTTAAATGATCAGGTAGTAGGTGATATGAAAGAACTCCAGTTTAAATTCTGGTGAGACGCTGCCATTCAGAGTATACAATACTGACCTGGACAGACTGATGGTCTGATTCATTACAAGGCAGCTTTGTGTGTACGTTCAAGACGTGACCTGAAGGCTGCAGCAGTGGTCTGATGCCCCTCACACCTGGAACACCTGTTTAGTATGGGGTCTAAAGAAGTTCTACCAGCTGCTCCTTTGTAGCTGGACACTGAGCTGCCCACAACCAGTGCAAAATCTTCTACTACAGCAAGTTTTCAAACAGTTTCTACCTTTAGGGAACACATTCCATATTGACGTCTGCCTAGGAACTCCCAAGTACCTGCCATGGAATTCACTGTGCGTTGTAGAGGATTCTTGAGCATTTTCTAGAGGCCAGTATGTTGGCCAAGCCTACTGGGCCCTTGTATCATGTCTACAAGTCCTCAGATGTACCCTAAAAATCCCTAACACTTTCCTGACTCGTACTTACTGCTGGGGAAGATTGCTAGATAGGAGCTTGTTGGCCATTCTTGATCTTGTCATTGAGAAATCCCTGGCACCAGATTCCATGGGAGGCAGTGTGAAAACCACCTGCTCTGGCGAAATATTCTCTCGCAATACCCTTGCAGTCCCCAAGAAAGACCCAGTTCAGTGTGTGTGGCTTGTGGTCCCAGAAGGACGGGTGCCTTGAAGCAGGAGAAGAGGAGAGCCTGGATGATGTTACCTTTGAAGAGGGGAGCGATGTTCCAGGCAGCAATCCCACCTTGCTTCATGAACTGCCCCAAGGCCACCTCCAGGAAGAAGACGGGGATCCCCCCAACAAAGACTATTAGCAGGTAAGGAATTAGGAAGACACCTGCAGAGAGAGAAGGGGAGAGGGGGGGTCGGCAAAGAGGGAAGAGAACAGCAGGCCTAGCGCAGCAGATATATAGGGATGCAGGGCTCTTTTTATAGTAGGAACTCCTTTGCATATTAGGCGACACACCCCTAATGTAGCCAATCCTCCAAGAGCTTACAGTAGCCCCTGTAAGAAGAGCTCTGTGAGCTCTTGGAGGATTGGCTACATTAGGGGTGTGTCGCCTAATATGCAAAGGAGTTTATTGTGTAGTGGGTTTGCCGCATGGACGAAAGACAAAGACTGGCATAGTGCAAAGCACGCTTTATTAGCACACAACAAGACTGCTCATTAACGGCCAGCAGGCCAACTATATACACTCCAGGGACACACCCCTGGACCCTGTTGGTGGGTTTGAATCTCCCGCCACGGTGCCCATTGGTTCCCCAGTGGAGGGACTAGGAGCCTAGTCCCCATTGTTCCCCCAGAGTCAAGCTCTGGCTGTTTGCTGGCCCCCGGTGGCGGTCAGCATACACAACAGAGTTCCTGCTACAAAAAGAGCCCTGGATGCGAGGGCCAAACCAGACTTCCAGATGATAATATGACTCTGAGTATGAGGCGTGAGGGAACTCCCCCCCCCCCAAGCATGTGTTCAGATCAGGACCACAGCATGGGGGAGAAGGGGAAAAGGCTGAACCCTTGGGTTGCAAACTCCAGGGTGAGAAATTGCTATGGATTTTTTTGGGGGGGGCTGAAGCCTGGGGAGGGCAGGCTTTGAAGAAGAGAGAGACCTCAGTGGAGTATAATGCCACAGAGTCTACCTCCAAAGAAGCAATTTTCTCCAAGGGTATCTGACCTCTTTCATCTGAAGATCAGCTGTACTACTGGGAGGTCTCCAGGCAACACCTGGAGACTGGCAACCCTTAGTCCCATCTATCCCCTGCACTGTACTCTCAATCCAACTACACACCTTTGAAAGCAAGTTCCCCCACACCCAAAGTGGTGACTGACTGTGTCAAAGTCAGTTCTGGGGAACCCAGATAACACTACTTGTTAAAAACTGTGTTTGGATCCTAGACTCTATGCTGGCATCTTCAGTACTGTACGCAAGCAGATTCCTGCCCAAGATCAGTTGGACGGTGGGGTGGTTGATCCGTCACTTTCATTTCCCTCTGCAATTGGTTTGTGCCTTTTGTTGCTGCACAGGAGGGAATTCTGGGCAAGGGCAGCTTCTCCCATTTTCTCGGGAGCAAGGACAGCGTCAGCTGTGCAACTCCCCCCCACGTTTGGGAACCAGGTATGGTACTATCTTCCTTTCCATCAGAGACTGCTGCTCAGTGGCAGAGCGTCTGCTTTGCATACCAGAAGATCCCAGGTTCAGTCCCATGTCCGATGAAAAGAATCAGATAGTAAGTAGGTAAGGTGCAAGACCTCTGCCTGAGACACTGTGGAGATGCTGCTAGTCTGAGCAGACAACACTGACTTTGGAGCCCAGTGGGTTTGACTCAGTATAAGGCGGCTTCACGTGTTCATCCCTAAATGGGTTTGGGGGGTTTGTGTTTTTCAAACAGCATTCTCCCACATCACATTGGCTAGGGGTTGCCAGCTCTGGGTCAGGAAATACCCAGAGATCTGAGGGGTGGAGCCTGGGGAGGGCGGGGTTTGGGGAAGGAGGGAGCTCAGCAAGGCCTATCACCACCTTTCCATACAATCCACCTTCCAAAGCAGCCGTTTGCTCCAGGATAATGGATCTCGGCCATCTGGAGGTCAATTGTAACAGTGAGAGATCTCCGGGTGCCACCTGGAGTTTGGCAACCTCGTGTGTGGCAAATAACTTCTGAACTGGAGGGAGCTTTCAGAAGCCGATTGGGCCACACACAAAAATAGCTCTTTAGACCTTGGCTATGATGGTTAGTAGTGTACAATGTACAAAGAAGGAGACCAGTCACAAAAGGCCAAATGTTGTGGACAGAGGACAGCCCCATCTAAGGGAATAACATGGGAAGAAAAATCCACAGAAATCAGTGGGAGGGTTTCTAATGTCCTGGCCCCACTGCTGGACCTCCTGATGGCACCTGGTATTTCTGGCCACTGTGTGACAAAGAGTGTTGGAAATATCTAATGTTCTTATGTTCTTAAGACCAGATGGAAGATCTACCTAGACTGGATGCTGAAAGCAAGAAGGAAGGACATTCAGTGGAACATAAGAACATAAGAGATGCCAATGTTGGATCAGGCCAGTGGCCCATCCAGTCCAACACTCTGTCACACAGTGGCCAGAAATACCAGGTGCCATCAGGAGGTCCACCAGTGGAAGATTAAGACTCTGTGCCCTTGGCTGGGGGGAAAAGACTATGACTAAAAGAGAGGGAGGGAGGGAAGGGGAGAAAATGCAAATAACTATAAATACTCAATGTAACAGACTAAACAAACAATACAAAAATATTATTTGGGGGGAAAAAAGAGGACAGCCCCATCTGTGACCATTGTCCACAGCAGTACAAACTCAGCATAATATTTCTTTCAGTTTTGTCATGACTGGATACAAGAATTCCTTCATGTACAATCTTTGACTGAAAAAATTACAATAAAAAACCTTGCATACGCTTCCGTATGTGTGTGTGTGTGTGGGGGGGGTATTGTAACCACCTGAGGAATCTGCAGGGTTGCCAACCTCCAGGTGACACCTGGAGATCTCTCACTATCACAACTGATCTCCTGACAACCAAGATCAGTTCCCCTGGAGAAAATCGCTGCTGTGGAGGGTGGACTCTGTGGGCATTGCACTCTGCTGAGGTCCCTCCCCTCCCCAAACCTCACTTTCCCCAGGCTCCACCCTCAAAATCTCCAGGTATTTCCCAACCCAGAGCTGGCAACCATAGGAATCAAGAATCACAGAAACATCCCTTTAAGATTCCGTTCGTTTTTATCGGGGTGGAGCCCATTGAGTGTAAATGGAACCAACCCTAAAGGAAGGTTTTCCTGTCTTATTACCAGTGCTGATTTATCCACGCCTATTAGCCCTCTGCATATCTCACCTAATCCAGTTGTGCCTGCTATTGTCATTTGGCATCTGAAATCACACCACTCTCCAAGCTATAAGGACAGAAGAGACAGCTCCCATTCTAGCTATATCTGAAGAAGTGAGGGGTGACTCATGAAAGCTCATAAAGGTAAAGGTAAAGGTTCCCTTGCCAGTCTAATCCGACTCTAGGGTTTCAAAAGCCATTTCTCCGTTTCAAAGCCGAAGAGCCAGCGCTGTCCAAAGACGTTTCCGTGGTCATGTGGCCAGCATGACTAAACACCAAGGCGCACGGAACGCTGTTACCTTCCCACTGAAGTGGTACCTATTTATCTACTTGCAATTTCTTGCTTTCGAACTGCTAGGTTGGCAGGAGCTGGAACTAGAGATGGGAGCTCACTCCGTCATGCGGCATCCAGGTCTCGAACTGCTGAGCTACCGACCTTCCACAGCCTGTAGTTCAGCGTCTTAACCACTTGAGCCACCGCAGCTCCTTGAAAGCTCATACCCTGCCACAAATTGTGTTAGTCTTTAAGGTGCTGCTAGACTCTTGCTCTTTTCTGTGTTTCCCATGTAGATCTTTTTCTTAAAAAAAAAAAAAGAGAGATTGCACAACTGCTGTTTATAAAGTAGATTTCTGTGCAGGCACACACTTGGCTTGTGCCATCCCAATATGGGCACGCACAGAAGCCACAAATATGAGCAAACAAATGCTAGGTTTTAAAACCGTGCAGGACAGGCTGTTTGCAGAGTGAAGGGAAACAACAGAGTAAAGAAAATTCCTGTTTCATGGGTAGTAAGCCTTGCTATGGGAACGGAGCCGTTACAAAGGAGCCACCTGGGAAATGATACATTTCATCTTCTAGCCACCAGGCCGCGGTCACCTGCCACTATGTTTTATTTCTCTTGACTGGGCAGTTTTCAACCTGAACTAATCTCACTACGGTTCACATGCAATACAGGACACCACATGTGTGGCAACAGACAAGGGAAAGCTGAATCCCACAGGTGGTGAGTTGACGGATGCCCATAACCTTCTGGCAGCGTGCTCAGTGGCATTTCAAGCCCCTTCCTTACGGCTGCCTTGCACTCACTGATCCTGTTGGACGGGGCTTTCGCTGGATTCCTTTCGCTATGCTGATTGCGCAGCAGCCCGGTTTGTGGCTTGCTTTGATTCAAGCGGCTCTCTGTTTTGCATATGGGGAGAGGGGAGTCCGCACAATGCAAGGTTCTCTCCACGGGAAGACTTTCCAATCAGGGCACCACAAGATGGGGTTTTGTATTGTATGGTCATCTGAGCCTTTCCACAACAGCTCTGGAGAGCTCCAGAGGAACGGCTAAGGCACTACGAGAACCTCTCTCTCATTGTACGTTAAAAGCCCTGGAAGGAAGCATCCCATTTCTGCTTGGCAGCCATTCCTCTCTGGCATACACAGCATCTGCTCGACAAAATCCACAGATGTTAAGCAGAGGAGTCAGGTGCGCTCCCGTCTCTGATCCGCTGCTAGCCCCACCCACTTAGAGTCTGGAGAGCCAATCGGCGAAGAGTCTGCTGCCCTTCCCCTCCACTTCCCCCTCTCCACTAACATGTGATGCGGCCTATTCCTCCGCAGCTCCGCATGTGGGGGGGTGTTCTTTTCCCGGCAGGGACGGGAGAGGGGTGGGACTTTAACCACTGCAGCCCCAGGGAGGAAGAAGCTTAAGGGGGGGGGCACTGTTGCTCAGAATCCGGGACTTCCTTTGAGAATCCAGCCCAGAATCAGGACTCAGCTCAGCTCTGGAAAAAGCAATCGTCAAAAGGACTGACTCTCTGAGCACGTGCAGGGTGCTTTTCTCCCTCACCACTGGGTAAACACGACCAAACCTGCTCCATCTGGACGAAGAAATTAAAGTCACCCGGAAACAAGGGGCGTTAGGCTAGAATCAAGGCAAAGGTACACGTGACCCTGGAAGTTCACAGCTGGAAATCCAAACGTATTGCATGGTCTTAAATAGCAGTTGTGCAGGGCAGGGCAGGGGGGGGGAAGCTTGGAATCAGGGACATGGTGCTGACAAGGGCGGGCGAGGATAACACTTCTTTCTCTGGAACAAAGTCTGAGTCCAGCAGGACCTTTAAGACCAACAAAGTTTTATTCAAGGTATAAGTTTTTGTGTGAAGTGTTGCATGCACACAAAAGCTTATATCCAGATTTAAACTTCGTTGGTCTTAAAGGTGCCACTAGACTCAGACTTTGTTCTGTTGCTGCAGACCAACACGGCCACCCACCTGAACCTAACTACTTTCCCTGATTAAAAAAAAACCATCCTGAGCTGCTTTGAGCCTCAGCAAGGCGGCGGGCGGGCGGGCGGGGGGGAAGATGAATACGACGACAGGCACAGTACAGGAAATGGCAAGGTCTGAAAGTCTCTAAAGGTGTTCTGTTTTAGGAAGGGATTTCCCTCATCCTCCTGCTCTCATTTGCATCCCTTTCACTCCGTTCGGGCCCTGCCCCCCCCTCGCTATCGTCACGTCTCACCCCACAGCCACCAAGCTGTCCCCTCCGCCCCACGGCCGCCCCTCACCTCCTCCATTCTTGTAGCAGAGGTACGGGAAGCGCCAGACGTTACCCAGCCCCACAGCGAAGCCCACACAAGACATGATGAAATCCATCTGCCTGGTCCAGGTCTCCCGTTCCGGAATGGGCAGCTTTCCGGGGCCCATGGATACCACCAGGGGTGCAGTGATGGCTCTCTCCTCAAGGGTGGTCTCTCCCGTGCCACTGACTGGCTCGGCACTCTCTGCCTCAGCCACCTCGGAGCACCCACTGCCCTCTGTGGAGACAAGGACAAGAGCGTTATAGCCAGAAGGGAAGGGGGGGAGGGCGATTCTTGGGGGAAAGCGTGAATGGTGGCTGCTCAACTACTATTGAGAGCTGAAGAGGGACAATAACGGTGGGCTTCTTTTTGTCCGATCTTCTACTCTTCTTTTGACATCTCATTTCTAGGTTTCTCTCTGCCACTCGCCACGAAGAAGAATTGGTTTTATACCCCGCCCTGCACTACCTGAAGAAGTCTCAGAGCAGCTTACGACTGCCTTCCCTTCCTCTTTCCACAACAGACACCCTGTGAGGCAGGCGGGGCTCAGAGAGATCTGAGAGAACTGTGACTGACCCAAGGCCACCCAGCCGGCTTCACGTGGAGAAGTGGGGAATCAAACCCAGTTCTCCAGATTAGAGTCGACTGCTCTGAACCACTGAGGGCTCGAGGCGTAGGCTTGTTTTGTTTTTTGAGACATCACAGAAATGAGCAAGAGTTACTACTTTTCAGAGATAAATACTTTAAGAAGGGGACCTGATAATAAGATGAAGGGGAATGGGTTTATCCCTTTCCCAAGGTTCTCATTGAAGATCGCTTAACTAGGGTTGCCAGATCCAGGCTGGGAAACTCCTGGAGATTTGGGGGGTGGAGCCTGGTGAGGACAGGAACCTCAGTGGAGTACAATGCCATAGAATCCACCCTCCAAAGCATCCGTTTTCTCAGGGGGAGCTGACCTCTGGAGATGAGCTGTAATTCCAGGGGATCCCCTGGTCCCACCTGGAGGCTGGCATCCCTACTGCCAACGGACGTGGCCCCTGACACTTTTGCTGCCCCAAAATGGCTACGGTGGATGATCTGAGTGTCCCCCAGGATTCTTTCCAACCTTATTTAGGTAGGAAACTCTGCTGTGTTGTAGCTCAAAAACAGCAGCAACCCAAGAATGGGACCTATTCTTCACGAAGAGGAGCCCTTGTCCGTGTCTGCTGATATGACTCCCACAGCTTTGAGATGCAGCTTTGACATTCAGGGCCGGGTCCAGAATGGCTGAGTGTGCAAATGAACACATGAGACAGAAATACTAGAGTAACACTGCACATGCCCTTGGATTCCAGTTTCATTTGGGAAATCTATCAGTCTCTGCCTGCTGGGCTTATCTGGTCCTACTTCCAGCAAGCACAGGCACAAATGTCGTGTGTGTGTGTGTGGGGGGTATAGTGGGTGACTCTGGCTGTGATTGGTGGGGCATGCTGGGAATTTGGTAGCTCAAGGAGACAGCAAAGGCTGTATATTATTAGTGTGATGCCTGTACGCAGTGTGGGATGTAAGCAGTGTCCCTCTAAGCTGATTGAGTGTGAGCCTCCGGCTCGCACATTTTTGTCTTAGCTCAGGAAGGAGGGCTCCAGTGCAAACTAATTTATGCAGCAGCCAAATTGCTCGCTCACAGCTTTAATGCCAGTAGCTCACAGAGTAGAATTCTTGCTCACAAGACTCCACAGCTTTGAGGGAGCATTGGATGTAAGTAACTCTTGCCTGAACAGCCGCCAGTGCTAAGGATCCTAGGGCACAGCTCTCAGATACGTGCTGCTCCTTCAGAGGCAGCTGTGTGCACCAATAAAGATGCCACAGTGTTCTCCATGATGTTGCACAGGATTCTGGACAGGGCTGACCCTTCCCTTAGGCAGGGTGAGGCAGCCTGCAGATTCTCCGGAAGCATTAAAGGGCAGAGAACGGCTGATGTTGTTGCTGTATGCTTTACTACTGTGGCAGTGCCCTCTTTTCTGTTTCAAACTTTTCTTGTCTCAGGCACAAAAACATCCTGGCCCACCAGCACTGTTTTGGGAGCACACAACTCAGCATCCACTCTCCCTAGGCGCCCCCCCCCAACAGGCCCTCTTAGGCATTTCTCAGGTAACGATTGCTCAGAACCCGGCAGGGCTCTTTTTGTAGCAGGAACTCCTTTGCATATTAGGCGACACACCCCTAATGTAGCCAACCCTCCAAGCGCTTACAGAGCTCTTCTTACAGGGGCTACTGTAAGCTCTTGGAGGATTGGCTACATTAGGGGTGTGCCGCCTAATAGGCAAAGGAGCTCCTGCTACAAAAAGAGCCCAGATAGATTTGTATAGTTGGGCTACCCTAGCCTTTGGCATTCACCGGGATCAGACTACTAGATGCCTTGTTACAGGGCAGCCAGTGCAGTGTAACACAGTAGTCTTGGCCGCAGCCTGTGGTATGGGAGGAGGTGGCAGTAGTGGAGGGCAGCGGGGTGGGGGTGGGGGCTGCCAGTTCCAGGCTGGGACATTTCTGGAGATTTGGGGGGTGGAGCCTGGGGAGGACAGGGACCTCAGAGGGGTGCAGTGCCACAGAGTCCACCCTCCGCAGCATCCATGTTCTCGGGGGAACTGATCTCTGTAGTAAAGAGATGAACCGTCATTCCGGGAGATCCCCAGCAGCCCCACCTGGAGGCTGGCATCCCTGCCAAGTGTCTTGTGGCCACCGTCATCTCCCAGATTTGTGCCACTGCTGCCCTCTCTCCCTGTCCCCCCCCCTCAAATATAATTTATTCAATTGTGCCAGCAAAGTTTCCCTTCTTCCCCATCCTTTTCACTACAGGTGAAGCGAGGATTCTGAGTTGGTGGCCTTCTGTATGTAAGCGGGGCAGAGAGAGAGTCGTTCTAGATTGACCCAGAGTTCAGAGATGATGACCTTGTGTGCCTGAAGTGCCAGAGGGCTTCACTCAGTTCTGGTTGGTTTACACACACAGACACCCCCGCCCCAAGACAGGCTTGTGTCTGGAGAGATTATACATCAGTGGAGACAGAAGGGGAAGTGAAGAGTTCCTATTGGACTCTCTCCAAAGCTAGAAGCCTGCTCTGCGCTCCCTCGTTTCACTGCTGGATCTAGAGTAGTACTTTCCTGGACAAAATAACAATAAATTAAAACTAAAAAAACCCACCCACGCCTCAGTCCTTCCCTGCTTGCCAACCCACAAGACGGTAGCTGGCCGAGGCCCATCTCTGCTTCCTCATTTTTCTTTCCTGTCACCAGCTTCACAAACACTTTGCCAGCCTGACAAATGGAGGAATGTTCCAGGCAACGTTTTATATAATAAGCATCACTTTAAAAAAAAAGCAAAACAGCACCACCAAACTACTCCTCTCACTCTGGAGTCCTAGATTCCACGTCACAATGCAGGCTGGTGAGTCACCCACTCGGCGGCAGCGACTCTGAATCCACACGCTCAAATACACACACACAGTCTCAGGAACTTACACAGCAGTAACCGCACTCGCAATGGACTCGCACACCAGACCGCATGCTGGACTGCCGCACATGCTGATCTGTGAGTCCCTTGGGAGCGGAGAGCGGGAAAGTGAAGCGAGCTGCCCCTTATTCAAGCTCGCTTTTCCAGAACCGGCTGAAACAAGGACCTCCCGCCAAGCTCCAGTTTCCCAGCCATGAAAGCATCACAGCAGAGACAAAGCTCCTAGAAAAACAGCAAGGCCTGCAAGCAATCGAAACCGAAAACCCCACCTCTTCCAATCCAGTAGCATCCTCGCCTCCCATCATGAGTCTTCCCTCTCCTCCTCCGTACCCCAAACCCATCAATGGAAACACCCAGCCCCAGAGAAGTCTTAGGAATCGCCTTCGTGCCAGTGGGCTGCAGTGAAACCCGGGAAGACAGGCAAACGCAGAAGGCAGAGTTGTGGGCAGAGCAGAGCCACACTTGAGCCCAGACACAAAGCCCCTTTTCCCTGTCTGGCTCCCCTCCCCCCACAGCCAACATGCGGCCAAGGCACCGGCATGTGACTGAGCTAATCCCCCACTTGTGGGGCCGGAGGCTTGCCGGAAGCCCCTTCTGCCTTCAGATCAGCCACTTCGGCTGGCACTGCCAATGAGCATTCTGTTGGGCCAATACACTCAAGAGCACATGCTAAGAGTACTTTTTGTTTATTTTTTTACCAGGAGAAACACAAAGACCCAGGGGATGGTGCAGAGTGGGAAAGATGGCTGGTGAATGATGCGTTTGTGTGATTAATATCACCCTGTCCCCAACGTTTCATCCCCCGCCACTGCTGCTCCTCCCGAGTTGTTTCCTTATAAGGGGCTGTTGCTCGGAACCCAACAAACTCTGGGCTTTGCCAGCTCCCCGTGTCGGGAGAGACCAGCCTGCACTATAAAGGCACTGCCAGCAGCTGTAGGCATTTTGAGCATGCCATGCTCTTGAACATGAGCTACCCGATTCCAGCCGCTGCCCTAGCACACCGATGCCACGTCCACAACTTCACACTTGTTGGCGCCGGCTGAATGAACCGGGAACAACTACCACCGCCGATCGCCGCCTTGGTTTTGGCATTCAACCATCACCCACTCAGACTGGAAGCTCAGCCACCCACTTGGGAAGGCAACAAGAGGAGGGGAAGGATGAATGAGATGGGGGGAATTGACAGGCGTGAAATATGAGGGGAAGCACAAATTACAGTGCAAAGGTCAAAGAAATCTTGGCTGGGAGAAACCACAGGAAGAGCAGCAAAGGAAAAAAAGAGGGTGTTCTTCTGACGTGCCGGAGGAGGAGAGCGCGGGTAGGGCTTGATAGCTCAGTGGCCTGCATCAGTGAGTCCCAGGAAGCACTGTGTCTTGACAGCGTTCGGAAAGGATGGGGGGGTATTGAATAACTTTGCTCCCGGGCGAGGGCTGGGCATGGTGTTCAGCCTAAATCCGCTTCAGTAGGCACCGACAGAACAGGTAAGGTGCCAAACTGACCTCTCTGAGGCCACACTGGTTTTAAGTTGCTGCTTCTTACACGAGAACTGTTCCTTACTCCAGCAGAAGCCATCGGAGAGACAGCACAGACCTGTCCTACATCTCCCCCACTGAACTTGGCATTGCTCCTCTCCTGAGTGGCGGCACAGCACTAAGTCCTTACCTGAACATGTTTCGGCGGGCATTGGTGCCATGGCACTGGGCTGGCGACAGGGCTCCGTGGCAGAAGACTGAGACAGGTGTTGGGTCGGGAAGCTGGCTCCGGGTCTGGGAGGGGATCTGGGGACAGGCTCAGAAGCAATCCACAAAGCACTTGAAGGTGAGACGAAAGAACCTCATTGATGGGGATTTACACCAGGGAAATGGGCAGTGGGCAAGAGGCTGGGCAGGGCCTGGAGCTCAAAGCCACGCAGCACGGACAGGGCTGAGCAGATGCTCCATCCCTCAACTCCAGCACCGAGCTCTGCTACTCGGAGGAGAATGGACAGAGAAAGGCACTGCATCTACTCCTGCTCCCCTCCCAGCTTGCACCTCATTGGCCAGGGCTGCTGGCACCAGCCTTGCCTGTTGCATTCTGGTAATTGGAGTCCGCCTTGCTGCTGGGTGCCATGGAGATGCTGGTGGATGCAGAGAGGCAGGTGCACAGCCGCTTGGCAGCCTCTGGAGACACAGGGAGTAAGGTCCAAAATGAAAAGACAGACGCAAGGTGCCAAGGTCCCACGCTGCAGTGCTCAGGGGAATAAAGGGAGAGGTATGGGGGGGGGATGGGGGACAGACAGGCTAGGTTCTCTGCCTCTCTCTCCTTTCTCTCTCAAAGAAATCAACGAGAGCAGATCCAGAGTTGAGCGAAGGAGACTTGACAACAGCAGTTTAAAAAAATTAAACAACAGTTAGGGGTTAGCAGCAGAGAGAAACTGACAGCTTCAGGGCTGAGGTGCTTGGGATAGGCTGACAATAGTAGATTTGTAACTAAAGGATCTAGGTTGTAGGTACAGGATCTCAGTTCAAAAGTTCAATGGAAGCAAAACCTTGTTTCTTAGAGGTTACTTTCCTCAGTGTTTTGTTCTTACAAATAAAAGGTTTCTTGTTTTGATTAACCCTGTGGGCTATGTGTCTAAGGGAAAGAAGCACACACACACACACAATTACAGGATATGAATGGCTGGTGGCAGTGAGAGTTTGGAACAGTGTTTCAGCCCCAACCCCAATATAGCTGTGTGTGAGTGAGGGCTGGAGTTCATACAGCGCATGCTACATGAGGGTAGCCATGAAAATAATACCCAGATTTCAATAAGGAGGCATACCTTGGTAATTTTGAGAGAGCCTGCCTGGATTTCAACATAAGAACAGAAGAGACACCAATGTTGTATCAGGCCCATCCAGTCCATCACTCTGTCACACAGTGGTCAAAAATACCAGGTGCCATCAGGAGGTCCATCAGTGGGGCCAGATAATGATGCCCAGAGAATGGCATATATAAGATCACAAATCTATGGGGGGCTGAGTGAAGTGTACAGTGAAAGGGGGGATGAGGAAGCAAATAATTGTTTAAAGAATGAGCAAAGCAAAGGTTTGGAGTGACCCCAGAACATAGCAGGAAATAGTTTAGGAGCTTGAGGAAGAAACCTGAAGAGACTTATGCTTATGTGGCAAGTAAACTAGACCGGTTGTGAAAACAGTGGCTGACAGGGGCAAAAGCAGAGAGCCATGAAGATGTTAATCTTACAGGACTGGAGCAGTCCTATAGACTGTTACCAACTGAATATTGCTAGTTGGTACAAGAAAACAGCCAAAAACCCTAACAAAGGCTGCAGAAATTATGGACCAGTTGGTGTTAATAAAAGAACTGGGGGGGGGGGATTTATCCTCAGAAAAATATGTTAAAATGTGCTCCCAGCAAGAACAACCTTGTCTGCCTGACATAAATTATACAGGGGGTGGTGGCCAGGGAAACACTTCAGGGCAGAGAGGAAGGGACATGGAAAAAAATGTTATCAGTTTGGTAAAACAGACCACCAAAGTTTTAATTGTCCCAGAATGAATAAAACAGGGAGGGTTATCAGTATGGAGAGACAGGCCAGGGGAGTTACAATTACCACAAACTGAATAAACAGACACCAAATAGCTCTGTGTGAGTGAGGCATTAGTAAAGGGGGCTGAGCTACCCTGCCTGTGGATGTCTCTGGGAGTGAGAGCGAGGACCTGAGGTGTAAGATGGCCATGACTCTCTGTAGATTTTAAAAGAGACAAGAAGGGTGGTGTTACGTCTTGACCGATGTATAACCCGTAGCCTGAATAAGAGAGGTTGTAGAGGGTGGTAGGCACTCTGCGTGAGTGGAAAAGGGGTGTCACAGGGGGTTCCCTCCTTTTTGGCAGATATCTGCCTGCCATGCAGGAATATATGTCAGATGCAGTGCAAAAGGGACTCAAAGAAGCATTTATTCTGACTTTTGTCCAGCCCCGTAGCTAGGGACTTTTTGGTGAGGGGGCCTTGGAGGGGGGTTAGGGCTAATTAAACCGGGGGGCAGCTTCCCTCCCCCCCAGCAATGGCAGCCCTTCCCTGTGGAGCGTCTGGCTCCCTCCCTCCCTCCCAGAGGAGCCCCAGTGCCCCTTCCCACATCCACGCACCAGGGATAGCCTGATCCCCACCCTCGGCTCCCTCCCGGGACCAGGAGAGGTGAGGCTTGCTGTGGCTGGGCTGGCTACGAAAGGGCGGCATGTGGGTGCATTGGCACACAGGAGCACAGCCGGGCACGCCTGGCCAGGGGCAGATGACACGCCCACTTGTCTCCTTGCCTTGCCTGGTTGGGCTTAGCTGCTGCTGGCTGGCTGGGCGGCAAGCATCTCTCAGTCCAGGCTCACAGCCTCTGCTGCTGCTTGTACGACTCTCATCCTCCCACCGACAGGCAATCAGAGGGGAGGGGGAGCCAAGGCTCAGGGAGAGAGGCCCATAAAAACCACTAAGGGGCCGGACCCCGTGGGCCTCATGGTAGCTACGGGCCTGTCTTTGTCCTTAAACAGGATCTCCCACAAAACTAAAGCATCCTGGATCAATGTCTGCCTAACATTTTCTTAAGATTTCCTGATCAAGGAAGAAAAATATCACCTTAATCCCTAGTAGGGTATGCATCTATGTATAGACTGAAGGGAAGGGAGGAGGGGAATGTGCATGGTCTTCTCTACAGTCTATAACATAGAGTGAAAAGTCGAAAAGGAAAGACAATCTGTGACAGCTCTATATATTCTAAAACTCCAAAGATACAAGATAAACAGAGTGACCACAACGGCTGTTAATTGGTGATCAGGGAGACTACCTATATATGTTAAGCACTTTAATACCCAAAGTACCGTACCTAAGAAAAGTACTATGTTCAAGTGCTAATTAATATGATTGATGCTATTAATTCAGCATTTTTACTCTGGAATTTCTGAAATTCTTTTACCTAAATCTACCATCCAGTCCCTTAAATTCATGAAGCGGCAGTGTTAATGTTTATTTAAGTCTGCTGTATTTTCAGGGGGAGGGGCGCAAATCCAGGACACCAAAAGGAGCCAGGGCTGCATGCATTCTGCTACCCTGCCAAAGCTACACAAATGCCTTCCTGTATACATTTGAGCCTGGGTGGCTACTACTGCTGCTGCTAGTGTTACCAAGTTGAACCTGGATTTTCCCTGGAATTATAACTGATCTCCAAACTACAGACATGAGTTCCCCTGGAGGAAATGCAAGGGCAGAGGGCAGACTCTATGGCATAACAATCCCACTGAGCTCCCTCCGCTCTCCAAATTCCATCCTCTCCAAGAAACCCCACCCCAATCACCAGGAATTTTCCAGACTGGAGTTGGCCACCTTAATCTGGGCCATGGCATTTTCAGAGTCTTTGACAATGTCACACAGGTTCAAACTTCTGCCTGCAGTCACAAGATCTAGAACTGTGCATTTCATTAACGGGAAGCGCAGTTTCTCAAGATCCTAAATTATTTAGGCATCAGAGCTCCTTCAGACAGGGAGGTCTTTCTGGACACAAGAAAGGCGGATGCTTCCTGAGGGAAATGCATCCCTTGTAGCAGAAAAAGGCTACAGTTGCTCTCTCTGAGCCATTGCCAAAGAGCCAGTGAACTGATCAAGTACTAGAACTGGAATCTTTTGGGACTCCCACTGAGGCCTGAATTCACTTGAGTGTCCTTTGGCTAGTCACTCTCTTTCTCTCCAAATCGTACCTGTTGTGTCGTAGTCCCCCCATACTATGAGGTAGTTCATAATCATTAGACTAGGACTGTGGAGGATTTAAATCTCCACCATGGAGATTACTGGATTGCCATGGGCTAGTCGGTCTACCTCAGCCTCACCTACCTCACTGGATTGTTGTGAAGATAATATTGGGGGGGGGACTACATAACACCCCTTGGAGCTCCTTAGAAAATGAAATTTAAAAAGCACTACTGTTATATAAATAGAAATTTAGTCCACAGTGTTGTTCCAGAGATTTCTGTTATATATGAAGAATTTGGAGATTTTAAAGGGAAAGCACTAGCTGCCCGAGTATTATTATTGTTTCTCCACCCATGAGACAAAGCGTGGCTATTTCAACCCTTGCTTTTCTTGTCAGTCCCCTCCTCCCAAAACTCATGAGAATTAAGATCTGGAGCACATTCCCATGGACCACGAGCCCTGTTGCCATGGCACCCAGCGAGCAAACAATTCCATGCCACAGCGAAGTCTCTCCACAGCAGACAAGCAACCGTTTTCTCAGGGCCCCCTATTCTAACCTGGGGAGGGTTTAACGTCTCAGACCATTTGACTGAGGTAGGGGCCTCATCCTGCTGCCTTTGTCTGCCTGTAAAAAAGAGGCCAGGGATGCCTCTGGGCTTGTCCCCCCCCCCCCCGGAAATAGGCTGTCTTCATTGAGTCAGGGCAGGACAGCAAAGCTGAAGGGTTTCTCTTCCACACCCTGCTCGGCTGCCGGCCCCTTTGCCTGAGACCAGAGAATGTAGGAAATTAATCTGCAAGCTTCCCAGCTTCAGAGAACCCTCTTCTACATTGACTGGACTACCCTTGGGCGGGAATCGGGACAGAGGATTCCAGAAAGTTGCGAATTCAGGGTCAGATTAAATGTGATGGTAACTGCTTTGCATACTTAAACTCAGGCCTGACCAATAATATACAAAGCAGAGGGCAGAAGCTGTTTTTTAGATTAAAAGGGCATGGAGATGGGGCACTAATCCCATTCCTCATTTTGTCTACCCCACTGCCGTCTTTCCCCCACTCCCAAGTGCTTTTGCCCTCTCTCAAATGCCAGCACCAAGTGAACAAACTTTACAGGACTTCAGGCCAGAGATTGGGGGTGGAGGGTGGGAGAGCAGCAGAAGTACAAAAGGTTCAAGCCTGTCTCCCACTTGCTTACCGTTTGGTGTAAAAATCAGAGCTGCACCTGCTTTTAAACAAAACAGGCCTATGATCACTATCACTGGGTTGCCAACCGCTAGGTAGGGGCTGGAGCTCTCCCAAAATTACCAGACTCTATATACCGTCATTTAAAAACACATATTCCACTTCTCCTGGAGCAAATGGTTGCTCTGGAAGGTGGACTGCACAGCATTAAGTTTCCTCCCCTCCCTAGTCCCCCTCCAGTGCTCTAAACTCCAGGTATTTCTGAACCCAGAACTGGCAACTGGCAATATATCAGTGGTATATTGGCCCAGTGTTCACACAGGGTACCTGGCCAAGCCTGTCTGGCCACCTCCTTGCTCGGTATGAATTGAGCACACACCCTTAAATGGCACACTTTAGATGACTGATAATTGCGGTGGCTCAAGTGGTTAAGACGCTGAACTGCAGGCTGTGGAAGGTCAGTAGTTCAGCAGTTCGAGACCCGGGTGCCGCATGATGGAGTGAGCTCCCATCTCTAGTTCTAGCTCCTGCCAACCTAGCAGTTCGAAAGCAAGAAATTGCAAGTAGATAAATAGGGACCACTTCGGTGGGAAGGTAACAGCGTTCCGTGCACCTTGGCATTTAGTCATGCCAGCCACATGACCACGGAAACGTCTTCAGACAGCGCTGGCTCTTCGGCTTTGAAACGGAGATCACCGCAACCCTAGAGTCGGATTCGACCGGCTTTCGAGCAAGGGAACCTTTACCTTTTTTAATTGCTAACCTCATCAGGATATGATTCTGGCCCTTGGCTGCAGGGGCCCCTAACAGTCACTCTCACTTCCAATGGTCACCCCCTCTATTTCAGTGGCTCTTCCACACTACGAAGGAGACTACTTTGAAGAGTAACTGGCAGAAGGCCAATTTTTTCTCATAAGGGTCTCTCCAAAGCCTAACCGGTGCATATCCTAGTTAGCCCAGGAGATGATGCCAACTGTATCGCTCAACCCCCATGCCCATTTAAGTGGTAGGAAATCATTGAAAAACTCTTACTGAATTCACTCAAATGCAAGATGAGGTATTTCCCCAGGTATGCCCTAAAAAGGATTGCCTGAAATTTGTATACAAGTTACAGGTATGTCCTGTAATAAACAACTTTTTGTATATAAAATTTTTTTGGGGGGATCATCTTTTTGAGTAAATACAGTAATTTCTTTGCCAAACCTTTACAGCCTTTGAGTATCTTATTTTACAACCAGTACAAGAGTGACCACTGTTATCTGCGCCATCCCTGATTTGTTCTGTCTGAATCAAGTTTGTTTTGTCAAGTAGAAACTTCTGCTCACCGTGTCCATTTCCTCCCACCTATGAAGATAAGGCGGTCATTTCCCACAAACACTTCATGGTGCTGAAATCTCAACAGTTACCACACAGAAGAAAATGCTAGTTTTCAAATAACTTCTCTGACTTAGCAACTATTAGGTTTTTTCACACGGTAGAGGCATTATATGCTATCATCTCAGTATGAAAAAAATAAGACTTCAGCAACATTTGGATTCATGGACAAAGCTTTGCACAATTGAGTCTCTGTTAGGTATACGTAATGAAAGTTTTCCACTGACTGAGAAATCAGCAAGCACCATAACAGAATGCCTGTAAGACTGTATGTGGCACATCTTGAGATTTCCTGGTAGGGTAATTCATGTAGAGATTCGTGTATTTTAAGTAATGGGCATAAATTTAGTACACGCCAGCAAATGGCACACACAAGGCAGTGAAAAAGGAGGGCATACTTTTGGAAGCTTATTTAGGAGCTTTTTCCTATCGATAGAAATGAGGGTAGCACAGCGATAATGTTTATATAGAAATCTTCAACTGCGCCAACCCATAGTCACCTTTCTTCTCAGTGCCCAGAATGTACTGCCAAGGAGGCACCACGGAATAAAGTTTCCAATTCAAGCAGGAAATTTGGGTTGGATCCAGTGAGCATGTCTGGCCCATGTCACCCAATGCCCCTTTCCTTACCACAGCCCCCATCCCCCATGACTATTGCCCATGCATACATATCGCTTTTGGGTGGTCACGGGGACCCAACCTGCCGTTTGCACCAACCTTTTATTCCCGACGGCACTGCCTATGCTGGAAGTCCCTGCCAAGGTGGCACTCCAGCAGACAGAACAGCACACAAAACACATGAACAAGCAGCATCGAGTAGAATTTAATGACTCAGAACCCAAGACAAACACTGACTTTATACAAAGAGAGAGCAAGACTGAGACTTCCTGGGAATGGGCCCAGGGCAGCCTCGTTTGGTTACAGCAATTCCGAGGGCGGGTAATGGAGGCCGGGGAGCCAACGTTTAAATAGAGATGGCAACGGCTTCCCAATCCCAGGGAAGTCACACAAGGGGCCAAGAAACTCCGAAACGCTTGAGGAGAGCAGCCAAGGAGGGGGGCAAGCCACAGTCCTGTGCCTTCTGTGCAGAACGAGAGGAGGTGACAGCAGGGGCCGAGTCTCCAGCCCCCCCCCTTTCCCCGCCAGTCTAAGCAATGCTGGTGAAGGGGCAAAAAAGATCACGGACACAGCAATGAGTACACGTCCTGCCCATTTTGCAGCCAAGATGTCATCCTGACCTTGGGCTACCAAGAAGGGGCACGGGTGGGACAGGCGAAGAGGGACTGTGGAAGATGGTGAAGCAGGTACCCATGGTATGGCAAACTGGGAGGAGGCCCCTTAGGGGCAGATGCCAGTGACCCCGCCCCCTCCCAAGTGGGACAGGCTGAGTGTGTGAGAGAACGCAGAGCTTGTCGGGGCTCTCCTGCCTCAGTACTAGGAGACTTAGCTGGAACCTTGGCGGGAGGTGGGGTGCAGGAGCTTCAGGGGACTGCACTAGAGGCTCAATGGGGGTGGTGGCCTTCCTCTGCATACTGGCACAGAGCAGCCTCTTAGCAGGGGACACCAACAAAAAATAATAAACCTTTTCAAAATTGCAGGGGAGGAGGAAGGGGTGGAGCAGAAAGTGCTTGTGTGCTCAAGAAAATGTCACAGCAGCTCCTCCTCCTTCCCACTGCAGGGGTATGTTGGGGAGGGGGGGTTTAAAAGAGAGGGGAGCCACAAAAAACAAAGCCTTATATACACCCTCCCCCCCTCCAGGACAGGACGCCTTTAGTCGACTTCCTCCATGTTGCTGTAGGATGGAGTGGGGTGTTCTGTCACCTCCTCTGGTGCCAGCAGGGGACCAACTTCAGGGGCCAGACTGGTTCCAAAGGATGGCGAGCTAATTCCCTGCAAACAGAACAGAGCGTCAGATAGTAAGCAGGAGAAGGAAGAGGCATACAACCACGCACAAACCCCTCTGTCTCCAGCCTGGGGAAGAGGTTTTATCTCCTTGCTTTTGAACATCTAAGATATTTTACACCCTGAGATTTTAAGAGGCAGAACCAGATTTTGAAAAGCTAAAATTATTTCTATATTAGCAGACTGGTGTATTTGCAGACTGGCCTTCTTCCTATTCTATCCTCCCAGTTTGGTGGAACAGAGCCTTCTTCCACCTTAAAGCTATTCTATCCTCCCAGTTTGGTGGAACAGCTATAGTGTTTGATAGGCATGCAATCAAATATTCATGCTGTCTTTAGAAGTCTTTTCACATACCAGTTCTTTATTTTTTCTTTTTTTTGAACTCTAGGTGTTTAAAGTTATACATTGCCTACTAAGGTAGTGTTGCTTTAGGGTCACATATCTGCATTTTTATACCGCTTAATGGAAGGTTATACATAAATAAATATATATTCTCATAACCACTCTGCTAATGTATGTTTTATTCTGCTGGTCCATAATAAATTATTCAACGATTGCTGTACAAATGCCCTGCCTTTTATAGTGAAGAGTGAGACTGAATTGTCCTGAATTGTCATCTGTCAATCTCAGTCTGCACTAAAAATAAGTATCCTTTGTTAAGGTAACCTAGCGTCAAATTAATTCTTGTAGCCTTTAGTTTCTCCAAATTTGTTTTCACTTGCTGTATTTGGCTACTGCTGCTTGCAGCTACTGGGGGCTGTACAAGTACTGAAACCCCGCCCACTGAAAACTCTCCCAAATCCCTCCTCGAAAATTTCACCAGACATCAGCCATAAGCTTCTAAATTCTTTGGGCTACCATAAGGCACAGAACCTGACGTTTATTTTACATGAACCCCAAAGACTGCTGGACCCCAAAGACTGCTATTAGCACATCGTGCACTTGCGCAGAATTACAAATGCACTGAGCTCTGTCCCACTCCTTCCAGTTCTGGACATCTTTCCCTCTACAGTGTGGCCCTTCTTCTTTGGCAAATGTCTTGCTGCAATCTACTGAACACTCAGTTCCCAACAGCCAATCGATCCCTTGGTCTCCCAACTAAACCAGTAGTGGAAACAAGCTACGGCTGGAGAGGCTAGGGAGCCAGTGGCGAGGCATATACTAGAAGGATGGGAGCGTGTGGAGGCTGGACAGAATCCTTCTGACAATTTTACACAGCAGGAGCTTAATGGACAGACCGACAGATGAGGAAAGAAAGGAGTCCAACCATCTCTTTGGAACAGCTTAGGTTTTATTAAATATAATAAATAAATACAGTGAAAGCTTTTTTCACGCAATGCTTTTCCGCCCACCAAGCGAGGCAGAGGCTCTTTCCTTTGTGGCGTGGGAAATGATCCACGCCATACCAACATATGGATCAGGCTGTGCTCTTGGACACAGGTGATACTGCCTGGGGCACAGCAGCATATGTGTACCAGTTAACCTTACCCCAGGGCCCTAGCAGACAGAAAAAGCCTCTTGAAAGTGCTGGGATTTTTTTTTTTTTTAAAAAGAGCTTCCATTAGATTCCTAGAATACATATGAATAATAGGAACTCTCGATCATATGTGAAACAAAAGGAGGGTGTTGCAAAGGATCACTTCCCCTGAAGAATAAATTTTCAAAACAACTCTTACTTATCTGGCCTCAGCCAAGGCATACATTAGGAAAGCTTAAGGATTTAATCTGTGGTCTAGAGGCACACGAGGGATGCTGCATTACGTATGAGGAACCACGGCCTGTGGGGCTAGATTAAGAAATGCAAACTCAATGACACCTTCTTCCACTGCTGCACGTGTGCAGAGAGGCACACGCGTATGCATTCCCAGAGACAGGTACAGGAGACAACGTATAAAATCAAAGTTGCGTCGTCTGTCCCACTGCAGATAGCCCACTGCTACAAACTGCTTAGCACAGTGCAGGCCTGGCTTGAGGGACAAGGATGAGAAGCTCCCGTTTACACTCTGAATTCCAGTCTAGCATCAAACCTAGACAAAAGACACCTGAGCTGGGAGGGGTGTGCGTATGAGATCGATCAGGCTGCAGGCCAACCGGACACCATGAAAAAGGGACCTAACCCAATCCACCAGCGCCTGGAAGAGTCAGCAGTGCCTACTCCTCTAATACCCCCCCGGGAAGCTGACACCCATTCAAAATGACAGGCCAGATATCTTTCTCCCTCCTGCTCCAAGAATGGGGATAATGCCAAACTGGGAAAGCTGGTACAGCCTTTAAACACCAGGCACCAGTGAGGGGACGGAGTGACCCAAGGCAGAGAGAGCGGCCTAGACAAACATATTCCGTCCAGTTACAGGGACAGAGGCAGATCTGCAGCTCCTGCCAGAACACACACATATTTGCCAGCACTTGTTGCACAGGGGCCAAAGTCTACAACAGCCACCTACGAGAGAAGTCAGTCCAGCTGAGATTTCCCAGGCAACGAGCCACAAGGACTCTTCCCAGATTACAAATTCATGTAGTCGGCCAAGTGGGATGTAGAGTGGGCCCGGGACTGGGCATCTTCTCCACGAGGAGCTACTGGCACAAGGGCTTCTTCTTGCAACCTACCTGGCAAGGAGCTTCCCAGCCCCTCACCACAAAGATGTAAAAAGGAGGAGAGCCCAGTCGGAAGGAAGCTGGCTGGCTGGCTGCCCCCTCCCCTCCTTGTGACTTGCTGCTGTCGGCTGCTATCTCCAGCGCGTTTGATAGATGAGCGGGTAGAAGACATTCAAGAAGAGTGCCACAATGGCTGCCATGGTTCCCAGGACAAAATATCGGACGTGGCCTTCTCCGGGGCACTCCGAGGCGAGGTGCTTCGTTCTTCGGCTGCAAGGCCCCCAGGGGTTCCTCATAAGCCTCCTGGCAGCTTCCTCTTCGGCCTCCAGTTCCTGCCAGAGCAGAGAAGCCTGCGATGTGGAAACCTGCGTCAGCACTTGGGGAGAAACACAGTGGCAACACATCCAAATCACCCACGCTCTGCCCCTTATCCTTCCCCACACCCCTTCACTGCCGCTGTCCCTGCGCCATGGGCTCCTCCCCTCCCACCCCACAGCTCCAGCAGCAGCCCCAGGGCAATCCTCAGGGGCCTCCTAGGGACAAGCAAGCCATGAGATGACGGACGGCAAAGCCCCTGCTTGCAGAATGAGGCATCCATGCTGACTTGGGGTTGGCGATGGGGGACGTTTTCCCTTCCTGGGATTCGAGAACCAGTGCCAGCTTAGTCCTTCCAACAGACCCCGGGCACCGAGTGCTCATGGCCCACGCTTCCTTGGAATGCACGGAAATTATTCAGCAGACCAACCAGTCACAACAGGTGAGAGAACACGGAGGATCATTCACAAACAGCCAATCACAGCTGAACTTTTCCCGGTGAAAACACGAGGATCTTATGATGACCGCCAGTCACATCCGAAGTGTTTGCAGGTGGATCACATGAGGATCTTTCATCAAAAGACAACAGCCAACCAACAGCTCAGCTTTTGGCCAGTGGAAAGCCACGAGGAACATTCAAGAAATGACAAGCCAATCACAGCTCACTCTTTTCTTTTCAATTAAAACAGGTGCAAAAGGAAGAATTAGTCACGGGGGAATCAGTCAGACCAGCTCTTCCATGTACAGGTACCTCATTCAGACCAGTCAGCCAATCACAGAGATTATTCTTCCTAAATGGGGTTTGTAGAGGCAGGCAGAATCCATAGTCATCTCCCCTACTCCATCCCCCTGGGACTTGCAGATAAGAGGGCTTGCTGCTTCCCGTGCTCCCAAAGGTCAGAGAAGGTGACGCTGAAGCTGGCGTGAAGTGCCAGTCTCGCCACAGGAGACTGGCTGCCAGTGTCCACAGGCACGAAGGGAATCTTGGCGTAAGCGTGTAGGCCTCTCTTTGGCAGCTTCTCTAAAAACATACGTAGGTGGAGCCTGCTCCTTCCCCCCAAGGGTAACAGGTTCTCAACTACTCGGGACACAGCAGGCATCCAGGCCTACAAAGACCCTTGGCCAGATGCCAGGCATTAAAAAAGGCCAGAATGCCCAGCTCCAGTGAACAGGAGGAGACATGAGAACAACGCAGCCTTGCTTGGCATGGCCTTGGAGATGGCACAGTTTGACCTTCTGGGCCCAGAAAGCCATTTACTGCATGTGGGTAGCAGAAGGATAGTGCCAGTAGACCCCCACCATGCTCACATCCGAGAGAGGCTCTTTGTTCGGGACTGTGCCGGGGTTGTTGACAGTGGATGTGTGTGAGCATGTAACCACGGGCATGCTGAGTGCCCCATCTCCAACATCTTGATGTGCAGGAGGAGGAGGAGGAGGAGGAGGAAGGTGTCTAAAATAGCAGCAGCACTGAATGCACAGTAGACCAGCCCCACAGCTGCTTGGGGAACCCCCTGTCCCCCATGTTTGTCATCTCTCTGCATGCCAAAGCTCATTTTTGTACAGGATTTGGTACTGCCACTCAAGGCTTTGCAACTGGCAGCACCCTTCTGTTCCAAGCCCATCCTACCCTCTTCCACTCTTACAAGCCACAGTAGTCCTCCCGCTCCAGAGAAAAGATCTCTTCCAGAAAGCCTCGAGTGCCTCTTTCTCTCCCCATACCCCACAGCAGCCAAAGCCCATCGCCGCTAGTCAGAGCTGTAAGCCAGAGACAGCAGCCCACCTTCATCAGTAGCATTAATACTCCCAACTAATGGGACACATCAAGGCGAACACTGACCTTAAAAGAACAACAACAACTAATACTCCCCCCCAGCTGAGCTCTCACCTGACTGGCTGCTGCCTCAGCAGACGCAGCCAATTCCGCCCGAGGATCTGCAGGGTGAGGTGGCCCTCGGGGAGGTCTCTCTACAGGAGAGTTCCGCCGGCGGTAGAAAAGCACGTAGGCATATCGGGTCACCACTTGGCTTTCATCCACCGTAGTGACTGTGCTGTCGTCGAAGAGCCGCCAACCTGTGTCCGGGATGGGGGGAGAGGATGGGACAGAAAATGAGCACAGAATCCTCCAGCGTGCATGCATCTCTCCAGCGCAAACTCAGAGGGAAAGCCTGCCTGTCCAGTTACCAATCCCTCCTTGATATCATACAAGGACAGCTCAATCTCCTGGCTGTACCCCACAGGCATCCATAGTAAATTAACTATATCGTTCTTAGCAGGCCCACCAAGTTCAGGAAAGGTGTTGCCTACTACCGCCTCAGCCTGCCAACACATGTTTTCACAGGTGTCATCTGCAGGGGCAACAGACTTCATGAACCAATCTGGGATGCGTAAGGCTGCTAGAAAGACACCCCCAACCTCTCACTTTCACACTCCTCTTTAAGACAGGTTCCCTATGTTATTGTTAAGATGAAACCCAGAAAGCGGGATTTCCTCATCGCTCAAAGCTGTGTTTTCTCACCAGTATAGCTGGGAGTTCAGATGCTACAATCTGAAACATCAAAAGGAACAAGCAAGTTGGCTCATGTTGAAATTGCTGATGGGGGGGGGGAGACGACAGGAGAGGAAAGAAGGACTCTCAACCCCTTCCACTTAAGATGTATTTAATGAATGGCATAGCTGTGTCTTGACTGGAGAAATTCAAAAGGTTACCTTCCAATTCACCCAATTCCATTGCACTGGCTGAGACAAACCAAGGAATGATGAGGGGAGCTTGACTGGGACAAGTTAAGGAGGAGAGGGCGTTCGGGACACTGCAGCCCTACTGTGAGAACAGTGAGCCTTTCCAAGCACACTCCCCGTATCTCCACAAACTAAAAGTTGCCAGAACTGATCCTAGGTGAAAATGGAACTAAACAACCAGCAACCCGATTCTGGTACAGATCCCTCCTTTTGCAGAGTATCAGAAAAGGAAAAGAGGCCCTGCATATACAGCTTGTCAAGTTATCATTAGTGGTCTGCTCCTCCAAAGAATTCTAACACATTCCCAAAAATCAAAGGTGATTAAATAGACAAATTGTTTTTATCTTGTTGGAGACTGCTCTGAGCCCTGCCCGCAGGGAAGAGGAGGAGGGGATTGGATTTATACCCCGCCCTTCACCTGGGAGTCTCAGAGCGGCTTACAAACTCCTCTCCCTTCCCCTCCCCACAACAGACACCTTGTGAGGTAGGCGGGGCTGAGAGAGCTTTGAGAGAACTGTCCTTGAGAGAACAGCTCTGACAGGACTATGGGTTGCCCAAGGTCATCCAGCCAGGTGCAAGTGGAGGAGTGGGGAATCAAACTCGGTTCTCCCAGATTAGAGTCCACGCACTTAACCACTACACCAAACTGGCTCTAGGTCTAAATAAATAATGTCTCAACACAGAAAGTCCCTGTACTGACATTATATCAGAGAATGATAAACCATTTTTGACAGATGATCTTCTAACTCCTACTACTTTTGAGGACTACTGCTTTCGGCTGTCGCGGAGAAGGGTCACTGGTGCACCAATACTATCTATGATAAAGGCTGGTGGGAGCCATTGTTTTCTCAAACAGGGAGAAGGGGGCTAAACTGCACTGCAAAGCAAAGCTTTTCTGCTCTGAGAGCATACTGCCATGTGAAGAAAGCCCTTCTCTCCCTTGCACCAGCCCTGAATAAACCAGGAAGACCTCCCCCTCCCAGCCCTTCTCCCTAGAAGATCCCTGATGGATCAAGATCAGTGGCTCATCTAGTCCAGCATCCCATCTCCCACTGCAGCCAACCAGATAAAAAGGCTTTCCAGCTGTCACTGTTGCCATACAGCTATGATGGCATTCTAGCTGAGTCTTCACTCACTGTCTGCCTAGCCTGACTGGCATGTGGCTTAGCCTGCCGAGGGCCACTGCACCAGCCACTGACTTCTCCCCCTAACTCACCCACATCACTGCGTTGGCTGTTCTTGTCACTGGGCAGCCGGGCGTAAGCTGTGTAGTGTCCACCAATCATGCCTCCGTAGTGATTGATAACCGCATATAGGTCATACATGGGCAGCTGCTGCTCGTCCTTCTGGCCAATGCAGAACTTGCTCAGGTCCAAGCTCCTGAGGATACAGATTGCGCAGGTGAGGAGGGCTCCCTAGCTTGAGACAGACAAACGCAGTCCCTGGTTGTTATCCCGTTCTCAGATTCTGCCCAGATTGTCATTTGATTATTCATCAGCACAGCGATCCTCCATGCTTGTTTAGTTAGATCTGGATCTTATCCTACCATGAGATGTCGGGACACTATTATCGGAAATGAAGCAACCCAGAGGAGACCTCGTGGTACAAATACATGAAATGGATCTCATCTGATACATCTTGGCTACTGAACTGTCAGTCTGGCCATAACTCAAACACGAACCCGTGTTTTTGCTGACTTACTGCTTTAATTGTGAGGCAAGTTCTGGAGAGACAGAACTTTCTCTAAATAAACTGGCTATAATTTGATTGATTCAGCCATGCTCAGATATGGGCAAGGCTCGAAGTGCCCAAGAGGACAGGTGAGACTACAAAAGACTCCTGTGATAGTTTGCTGTAAGACACGCGAATCAGTTCCATGATCCCCAAAAGGGTAGAGAGGAACATAAGGAGATGCTCATCAAACGTGAATGCAGGAATTTCCTTCCAAAACATGAACAGAACTCAGAATAGCCACTTTGTACCAAGATGAGACAAAGATCTATGTCAAAACTATGTTTATAGCAGCACAAGAGCCTGGGCTATCGGATGCATGAAATGGTCAAAAAAAGTTGTCGGAGACATCTGTATCTACACTCACACCACCGTAGAGGTCTGATGGATAATTTCGCATTAGTGCATCCAAAGCAGTAAGCTCTTGCTCATGAAAACTGACTAAAATGTCAAGGAACCACATGGCTGTTTTTTCACCACCCCCTAACACGAATCCCTTCCATTCCAACTTCCATCCTCCCCTCAAAATGACAAGACATGGCTACTAATTCCCACCTCCAGCACCCTTCCTAATATATTTAACAGAGTCAAAGGTGAAGAGGTGGTGGCAGCAATTCACAAAGAGGTTTGGATTGAATGACACCAGGGCAGTGTCTGAGGAAACACTGCTACACATGCACACACACTTGTATCTGGTACAAGCTGAAAGAGTCTGTTATTCACTGATGCCACTCTGCTCAAGCAGCACCATGATGTGAGGCAGGGCACTGCCCAGCACAGCATCCTTTTACCTGACAGGGAAATCCACCATATCATTGATCTTGTCCCTCCATATGAAGCTGCGGAAGGAGAAGCGCTTGAGCTGGATGATGAGGACGTTGGGCAGGCGCCACAGCATGAGCTGCTTGGATGCCTCACGATGCTGCTTACACTTCGGGCAGTACCTGCAGAAAAGGTGGGAGAGAAGACAGAGAAAAGCCGTCTACTTGGGACCTGCACCACTGGTCCTCCTAGCTCGGCTCCTGGCTACACAGACAGCAGACAAGGGCTTTCCCCAGCACCTCCTACTACTTAAGATCCTTTACCTTGAGTTGCCAGGAACTAAGCACGGGTTTTGCTGCTGAGCCACAATTTCTCCTCCCAATGGGGTGTTTGTATTCCCAGCTACTACTGCCTTTATCCTTGAGAGCCAGTTTGGTGTAGTGGTTAAGTGCGCGGACTCTAATCTGGGAGAACCGGGTTTGATTCCCCACTCCTCCACTTGCACCTGGCTGGATGACCTTGGGCAAGCCATAGTTCTGACAAGAGCTGTCCTTGAAAAAGAGCAGTTTCTGTCAAGAGCTCTCTCAGCCCCACCTACCTCACAGGGTGTCTGTGGTGGGGAGGGGAAGGAAAAGGAGTTCGTAAGCCGCTCTGAGACTCCCTTGGGTAGTGAAGGGAGGAGTATAAATCCAATCTCTTCTTCTTCTTCTTCTCTTCTTTGTTTTGCTGCTGTTGCTGATGGAGGCCCCAGAAGAGTGGGTCGTGGATTTCTGAGACCGAGGGATCTAGGGACTAGCCAGGATTGCTCTGTGGGCTTCTGACTTTGGCAAGCCATGTGATCATTTGAGATTTGAGCTTTTTCACTCAAAATGAGGTTCCTACAGCATATTGTTTTCAGAGCGGGACACGGCTGCGAATGGATGCATGACACAGGGGAATTCCTTTTGTAGAAGTTTGCATTGTTTAATAGGGATTTTCAGTTCTCATCCCTCTCTACCTACAAGTGATCCCCAGCACCTCTTCATACCCACTGCACTCCAATATTCTTAGTGGCAACCTTTCCCCAGCATAGCAGAAACAAACCACGAAGCACCTGAAACCCCAAATCTAGCTGCATGTTCAAAATGTCTGTTTCCTGCCAGTTCCAGAATTTTAAACATTTTCACTGCACAGGATTTACATCCCATTCATACACTACACTTGACCTGAGCCAAAAGGCTGAGATCCATCAGCCAACAGACAAATATTTTGAGACCTCTCTCTTACCAGGCCTCCTCTGGGGCCAGCACCTCCGGTTTGGTGAAGAGGTTGAGGCATTGCTCGAGGGTGAAGTGGCCTGCCCTGGCTGCCTCGCTGGCTGAGCCCGGGTCCTCCACACATTCCAGCTCCTTGGACTCCACCAGCACAAACTCCTTCATCCTCTCGTTGTTCTTCCAGACCAGAGCCAGGGAGCAGTCATCAGGCAGATCTAGCAGGGTGTCTCCTGTAATGACGAGATGGTTACAGGTGGGCACACTTGCCTACTTCTTCCCATTGGCATCCAAGAAATGCAAATTAGATGCAGACCATCTTGGACTTCTGCTTAGACAGCTTAGCCAGACGGAGTATGACATGGGAAGCGTGAGAGGAAGCAGAAACAAAAGCATTTATTACTAGTTATCATTTCAACAGTGCTTGGTGAACAATGATGCAGAAGCCTTAAAATGAGATCCTTTCTCAGAGGGACTCTGTAAAAGGTAAGCTATTATTAATCCCAGGTGTTTTTTTTTCAATACATGGGAAACTGAGGTTCAAAGGAGCAGCTATATCCAGTCCCAAAACCACCCACTTGAGCTCCCATCAGCATTCTTACCCCCAGGGACAAAAGGGTGCCTCCCTCGAGTTAATGGATGGGAAAGTCACGCAGGCTGCAGGCGATAAGAGAAAATGATGTTGCTTGGAGTGGGGGGGGGCAGCTCTCTGGAATGCAGCTCATGATGCCCCCCCATTGTCTGTTTTTGCAACTGTGTAGCACAGGGCAACATCCACCGAGGAGCTGACAAAAAGCCTCACACTCAAGAACAATGCTGGCAGCAACTTGCCAGGGTCCCAGCAAAAGGTTCTTTCAACAGCATGGCCTTTTCTAAATTGTCCCCGCCCATACCTAGCAGTAACATGCAATAGAGTATCTACGTTATTTGTCTATTTTCTTTATTTATACCCTCCCCCCATTCTCTCTAGTGGGGGGACCCCACACTGGCTTCCATCATTCTCCTCTTCTCGACCACCCTCTGAGGTAGACTGGACCCAGAGTGTGTGTGTGTGTGTGTGTGTGTGTGTGTGTGTTAGTGTGGCTGGCCCAAAATCACCCAGTGAACCTCCACAGAAGAGTAGAAATTTGAACCTGGATCTCTCAGATCCTGTTTCTACCACACCATGCCGGCCCTCTATATATGGCAAAAGCTGTGAGAGTCACGCAGCTCACAAGCTTTAGCCTTTGGCAGACAGCCGTCATGATTTTAGCACAACATGCGGACAGCCAGTCGAGCAGTATCCCTACGGGCCCTTCTACGAGCTTAACAGACTGGACCTGGCCTGTATTACTCATATACTTGGGAAACTTTTTCCTAAGGCTGCATGATTCTCCCCCTCCCTCCCTCTCTCACCAAAGAAGGCCAAGTCATAAAAGCTTCGCGACACTGGTGGTTAGAAAACTCCAAGCTCTGCCACCACGGGACTCACCCTTATCCTCCAGCTTCTGTTCTCTGTTGGATGCATCAATCTTGTTGATGTAGAACTGGGTAGTGTGGGAACTGGGACCCTCAGCTGGGTGCTGGTAACCAGGGATGGCAGCTACAGGCAAGGAGGAGAGGGAAGAGCAGTGATAACAGTCAGCAGTCCCCTCACCCCCAATCGTCCCACGTGGATGAAACAGCTGGAACAGCTTCTGTTCCACAGCACACCTTGGACTGGTGCGGTCTTGCAGAAAAAAACCCACACAAAAGTCAGCCTCAGGATAACAGCTGCTTCTCAACAGCTGCATACCCCTCACAAGCACTGGGGAAATGGCTGGATTAAATAAATTTTCCTAATCCTAACCTTCCAGTTTTGGCACGCTGTCTTGTGTGGGTGAAATGGGAGCGAGAGGGACCAAGAAAAGAAAACAAGCTATACAAAGAAGATAATTAATTTTGAATTTTGTTGCTCGTGTGATTCTGGGGGTGGGGCCTACATAGATATTTAGTCTCTGCCTACAGTTTCTGAAGCAGCACCTCGGTGGAGACCCAAGTTGCGCTTAAGAATGCGGGGATAAACTGCCTCGCTGGAAAGCCGCAAGGAACCGACTGGAACGTGGGCTCCAAAAATCAAAACTACTGGCTCAGATCGAGGATGGGTCACTAACCTTCTGGCTTGGAGGCTCTCTCCAAAGGAATCTCCTTCTCCACGCAGCCCTCAGCCCGCGCATCCAACGGGGGCTCGGAGAAGCCCGAATCCAAGCTCAGCAAGGCGCTCCTTCCTATGGGAACCTTGCTCCTCACGGCGCCGCTATCCCCCAGCTCAGGCTGTAGCTCGGGGGCCGAGAGAAGTGCCTGGGGTTCCTGCAGGAGGTGTGGAGCTGGAGCGCCGTCTCCCGACTCCATGGTGGTGCTGGCCGCTGAGGCGGCGGCTGCGGAGGCCACTGTAGCACAGCTGCTCCTGGCAGGAGGCTCCTGTTTGTCAGGAAGCTGGGACGGCAAGCTCTGCTCGGGTGACATCCTGCCCACCTGGAAAGGTGGCTGGAATACACTGACTGAGTACCTAGCCGGGGGGGGGAGGAGAAGACAAAGGGGCTCTGGCACGCTGATGAGGAAGGGGAAGCCGATGTTCTCAGGGCGGCACGAAGCTTTGTGGTCATGCCAGTGTTTCCTCTGACAGTCACTGAAAGAGACACAAAACAGCCTCTTGTGTGCCCTTGCACTCTGCATATATCCGCTCCACCTTTACACAGAATCAGACCACTGGGTCCACCTCGCTCCCACCGACAGCAGCTCTGCAGGGTCCAAGGCAGACAAAGGTCTTTCCGAATGCCTTCTGCCCGAGAGCCTGTTAATCTCGAGATGCTGGGTTAAGGGACAAGACCTGGGACTCCCTGCAGACAGGCAAAGCGGCCTCTGCACTCTGCATATATATCCGCTCCACCTTTACACAGACCACTGGTCCACCTCGCTCCCAACGACTGCAGCTCTGCAGGGTCCGAGGCAGACAAAGGTCTTTCCGAATGCCTTCTGCCCGAGAGCCTGTTAATCTCGAGATGCTGGGTTAAGGGACAAGACCTGGGACTCCCTGCAGACAGGCAAAGCGCGTGCTCTGCCGCAGTCTATCCCCCTAGAGAGACAGCTGCTTGCTCTTCCCCCACAACACAATGAGAGGCAGCAGACTTCTCTTTCGTGAGAAGCGCCACCATACACGCCAGGCCAGCACCCAGAGGGATTTCTTCTCCCCACGCACCCTAGGACTAAGCCTTTCCTGCGAGAAGGGCTGGCCCACGGGTAGTTCTGCTATGGCCCTTGGAAAGACGCCAACTTACACATTGCAATAACCGACACGGTAGCACCGAGTGCAGCGCTTCAGCTTCTCCTCCTCCGACTGCTGCTTCTTCTGGCAGGCGGCACATTCGGTGACAGGCCCGCTGGGCACCTGAGAGCGCTAAGAAAGGAGATGGTGCACATATGAGTGTTGCTGGACTAAGCCAGAACCGAGAGAGCGCTTGGGCCTGAACCGGACTCTGCTGCTCCCCTGGGACGGGAGAAGCTGCAGGGTGAACCCAGAGTGCCTGCGTGTGCTCAAAAGAGAGCTTCCCCCCCACCTACCCCCCCCCCCCCCTTGCCCCCTCCAGGGCTGCACTTTTCTGGCTCTGTCTCTCTCTGTGGAGGCCACCAGCATGGCTCCGGGCCCCTACCTGTTGAACCTGCAGCTCCACCACGCGCTCCTTGGCCAGGTCAGGAGACAGGACCTCAAAGCACAACAGAAGGTCTGTGGGGGAGACACAGTCCAGCGAGTGGGAAGGCAGGTACATGCGGTGGAAGTGGTTCTTGATTACCTAACCCAAGGAAGAAGGGAAGCAACATCTCTTGTCACAGATGCTTCACGATACATACAGTAAAACCCAAGGAAGCCATGGTCACAGGACGCCATGGTGACCATTTGCTTCAAGAACAGGATGAAGACCAAAACACAAGGGACAAGAGTACTAACATAAAAGAAAACAGGCATGCACAGCTGGAAAGGAGGGAGCGGAGAATTATTATTATTATTTTTACAAAGCCAGATTCCTGGCAATGCATCCGCAGGAAGCCTGTTCCTTGTGTTACTGATATGGGAGACCTCCCCCGGCCCCTTTGTTACTATAAGCAAGAACACCCACAAGGGCAAGCAGCAACTCCCTGTGACACTCAGACCCAAGATATTTAACTGGACTGTGTGGGACAACACTCAGCCATCAAAACGGCATATACAAAAGCAGCACTCACTTCAGCCAGGCGCAGGTTCTCAGGATTCACTCGCGTGCTGTGGGATATTGACTCTAGCACCTCCATGGCCATAGAATTCTCTTTGCTGATGCTCACCAGGAACTGTTGGGAGAGGGAATGTTAGGGTGGGTATGTCAGGGTCGATAGCCACACCACTGATTTCTCCCTAGCGCCCATAATCAGGTAATGTCATCCCTGAGCCACACGCACTCCGCTTTACCTGCTCGTATACTCTAACCCTCTCTCTCCTCTAGTCAATCGCTTAAAGCTCTCCCACTCCACCTCAGCAGGATTGCCCTAGTTCTAGGATCTGGACAGCACTGAACATACGACACTAATTGTAAGTAATCACAGTGCATTGTAGAAGTAATTCTCAACTACTGCGACAGGACAACAGCAGGTCTTCTGTGTGGATGTCAGGGCTAGACGCTTGCCTCCATTTTGACCCTGAACTCCCGGCAGTCAGGTGACATGGCCAAGGCTCAAGCTTGCCAGGTAGCCTCTGGCCTTGAAAATCCTTTGCCTAATCCCAGAGCATGGGCAAGTTTTTTTCTTTTCTTTTCCTTGTCCACATTCACAAACAATATGCAAAACCTGTGATCCATGCTGAGCTCTGCCTCAAACTGAGCTGATTAAGGGCCAAGCTAGACACAATAGTGACAAGATGAATGCATTGAAGGTTGAATCTGCCGCAGTTATGCAGAACAATTAATGCAGTGCAGGGAAGGGAGCCGTTTTAAGAGCAAATGAAGTGCATGGGTGACGGAAGTCCAGTTCGGGGGAGTTGAGCAACCAAACACCAGGAGATAAAACAGGAAGGTGAAGTTCCTCTCACTATGAACCCCTTTTGCTCCTCAAATGTCGGCTTACGTATATGCCATTAAAGGTCTATTGATTGACTGATTGATGTCGGCTTACGTGATCCATGAAACCTTTGAATAAGTGGTACCCAGAATCCACTTGGTCCCCAAGGACTGTGGAGAACTGTCTGGCTATTATATCTAAGTGGACCTGTTGAAAACCTAGTTAACCTATGGAACAGGGAAATTACTTGTGCAGTCAGTGGACTAGATCCAGCCAGCATTTCCACCGATGAAGGAGAGGGTCCCCCTTTGACCATCAAAAAGGTTATACTAGGGATTATGGGAACTGCATGGACAAAAGGCCATGTAGGATGGAGGCTGTAGCACAGAAGAGAACTATGCAAGACTGAAAAAGCTGGCTGCCTCCAACCCAATACAATCAGCTCTGGATGCCCACTTTCAACTGGCTCTCTGGTTGACAGAGGGAACTAGGGGCAATGAAATGGCTCAGACAGTGGCTAGAGCATCATTGACAGAAAACTCACACAGAATTCAAACTGATCATAAGCTAGAGATCATCTTAGAATCCACTCTTTAGAGCTAGAGATCATCTTAGAATCCACTCTTAGGCAGCAACCGCACAAAATCCCCCAATATTTCTCTGGGACTACTGCATCTGCTCAGCAGAGTTTTCACAAGTTGTGAGGGGGTCTATTACACCTTGACTCCTGAGGGGAGGCAAGGCAAGTAGCAGCATTCCACTGTAACCTGCAAAGTGCTTAGCTAAAGCTGATCACATCTAGTCTGACTTGGAGATCACTATTACTGCTGCTGGTCTACTGGATGCCCCCAGCTTCAGTCTGGGAATACTTACTGGATTCAGAGCTACCTCTGGATGTCTAAGTGGCAGCAGCAACCAGAAGTGCGGTTTACTAGGGATGGGCATGAACCGGCTCACAAGCCAAAATGCGGCACAAATCTGGGCCAGTCAGAGCGCCCAAATCAATGTTTGGGGAAGGCGAATATTTTTCCTGACCACGGCAAGCTGCAGCCGGGAGAAAGGAGGAACCAAAAAGGGGTGCCTTTTGGCTCCGTTCAGGGGCTGCCCCGACCTGGGTTTTTTAATGTTTGTGCACATCCTTATTGTTTACCATCTGGTTCACTAACTGTGCCCTTTCCTTGATAGAATGGATCTGGTTGGTTACTTGTGCCTTGGAGTGCTGCAGTATGCTCTATACCAGGTTACCTTTGGGGGGGAAAGTGCCCAAGAATGGTCCAAAATGCAGCTACTTCAAGAGAACAACAACTATTTTTATTTTTTTTATTTTTTTTTATTTATTTGCGATTTATATCCCGCCCTACCCTTACGGCCCAGGGCGGCAAACAAGCGGCAGCGCCGGAGATAAAACATAAATTACATTAAAACCTTAACAATTTTGAACTAAAATGGTGCTCTACAATTCTCTACACTGACTGCCAGTAGATTTTTCATTCCCAATAAAAGAACCTGGTTTTGACCTTTAAAGCCCTGGACAGTCTGGGTTCAGGATACCAGAAGGAGCACCTCTTCCCACACGAACGTCCCCTACATGTCAGTCAGCCTCTCACCATGGCCTATGTTTAAATTTACAGTGACTAGAAGCACAATGAGGCCTCTTTGGAGTAGAGAGCCAGTATGGTGTAGTGGTTAAGAGCGGCGGACTCTAATCTGGGGAACCAAGTTTGAATCCCCACTCCTCTACATGAAGCCAGGGTGATCTTGGATCAGTCACACAGTTCTCTCAGAGCTCTCTCAGCCCCACCTACCTCACAGGGTGTCTGTTGCAGGGAGAGGAAGGGAAAGCAATTGTAAGCTGCTCCGAGACTCCTTCGGGTAGTGAAGGGCGGGATATAAAACTAACTCTTCTTCTACTTCCAATAGCAATATTGAGGAAATAGAATGCCCTGCCTTAGGAGGTTCCTATGGCTCCTCTTCCCTCCAATATTCAGGGGACAGGCTGCTGAGTCTGTTTTGGGGTAACTTGTAGATTTGTTTAAGCTGCTCAGGTTTTGGCACGGATATTCTTTTTTTTAAACTATAATCTGGGTTGTTTCATACTGAAATTTTAATGACCTTGATTTTTATGTGCTTATGCCCCATTTATTCTTAAGATGCCACAAAGAACAAGGATCCAAATATTGTAGAAAATAATTTTTAAAACTGGACTCTATTCTTGCTTTTTATGGGCAACCAAAGCTGATCTGGATTTAAACACACAGATCTGCCACTGGAACATCCAGTTTGTCCCTGAAGAGTAGATTTCTGTTGGCATGCTCCACTGAAGATTTTCAGGGAGCTCTGAAGCTCACACAGCCGAGACTGACACCGATCCAAATTGTTTCAAAACATCCCATTCTGCAGGAGACAAAGAATGAGTCACACTGAGCCAACCACAACAGTGAAGGACTCTTCTTACCTTGACAGGTTTCTTGTGGGGTTCTTTCGCGAAGTAATAGACCGTCAGCACCTTCTGCTTCTGGGGGAGGGGGACGGGCAGATACAGGAAGGGATCAAACGTGATAGACACCTGCAACCCACAGAAGTTGGCTGTCAGCAGTCGTTTGTTATAACGCACTGTGCTGGGAAGCACTAGCAGCCCCAAGGAAATAAATACGAAACCACCCTGAATAAAGCAGAGATTTGATGAAGTAGGTGAATGGGAAGAAAGGAGCACTGGAGTCCTCAATGGGAGGCCACAGGAATAGTGGAGCGGACGGGGCATGAGCAACGGGCCAGAGGAAGATACTGCAGAACTGGAAAACGGGGAGCTCGAGTGCCACCTCAACAGGCAAGACATCCCCATCCCCTGCTATCAGAGCCAGCAGAGGAAATGCATCACTGGATGCAGACCTGCAGCCCTCTGCTGGATGCTCAGAGGGTCTTAGCATCCTACCTTAGAGCACACGGGGCACACCAGTGTGGACTTGTACTGGCCCTGAAAGAGGTCCACAATGAAGGAGTCGTTCCTCATCTTGTGTCGCTGCCAGGCCTCTTCTGCAACCACCTGGCAGTGAGAGAACGGAAGCAGGAGGTGAGTGACCATCTTCCAAGCCCTGAGACCCCTCCGCTACCTCTGCCAGCCGCTCACAGGGAAGGACTCACCTCATCAGGCCGCCCATCCGAGTCCACCGTCTCCGTGTAGGGCTTGATCTGGATGCGGTTCAGGTCCTCGTGGAGCCCGTCCAGCAGGAAAGCCATGAATTCCTGGGCATCGTGCTGAGCGTAGCCCGTAAACTGACTAGCTTTACTGGCCACAATCGCCTGCAAGGAAGAGTTTGGGTGTCAGCAGTAGCCTGTTGTCCGTGTAGTACGCCGGAGTGGGAAAGTTCTTCCCAAACCAGCAGGAGAGGGGGGAAATGCTAAACACAGCGAACACAGATTTGAAGGGACCTAGGGCTACTGGGGAAAGTCAGAACTGCCAGTTGTGGTAAGCCCCAGGATCAAGGTTGAACATATCCCAGAGGCTTGCTGCTCAAGCGTTTGTTGCCAATAACTGGGCATTTGGACTGGGAGTAGCCAGAAGACACTCAAACATTTCAGTCTGCCAATGAATCCAGTTGTTGTTGTTCAGTCGCACAGTCGAGTCCGACTCTTTGCGACCCCATGGACAAGATCTCGCCAGGCCCTCCTGTCTTCCGCCGTCCTCTGAAGTTGGCTCAATTTCATGTTCGTTGCATCTATGACACTGTCTAACCATCTCATCCTTTGCCGTCCCCGTCTTCTTTGACCTTCAGTACCGCTCCAAATTCAGAAAGAGGGGTCAAATTACGATCGCTTTGTAAACTGGACCAGTCTCGGACACTGTAGGTGTGGACTGAGCTAGTTTCCTGCCCTTGGCTGACCCCAGCCCTTGGGAATCAAGCCTGCTCTTATTTGCACAGCCCCACTCCTCTTCACTCACACAGCCTCATGCCCTAGATCTGCTGTACAAAGTTCCAGACACACACACACCCCTCTCCTCTCAGCCTGCACATGCCTTTCCTGGAGGATGCCTTACCTTCAGCTTTGAAGGCTGGAAGGCATGGTGCGTGCCCTTCCAGAGAGCCCTCAGCAGCACAGCGAAGCCAATAGCCAGGCGCCCCCCAGTTCCCAGGGGGTTACTGTAGTTGATTTCGGATTTGAAGGAGCGATCTAGAAAGGCATACAAAAGTTCAAGGTGCTTTTCTGCATCCACTGCTCTGGCCAAAGAAGGCAGAGGGTAACCAAACAGGAGGCACACAGGTAATAGTGTCCCCCCCCCCCTCCGGACACACATGGAGGCTTACCATGGAAATAGTCCCGCAGCTCCCGGGTGTTGGAGAGTGACTGGATAACACTGTTCATGAAGCAGGTGTTGCCCAGGTTCACCAGCCCTGTGAAGCCTGGCAGGCAGACCTTCTTGTCCTCCTCCTCTTCCTCCTCCTCCACACTTTTGCTGCTGACTGGGCTGTGAGTCATGGGTGGGACCATGCATGTCGGCTTGGGCTGGAAGGGAAAGGGCTTCTATCCATCAGAGAGTGGGCTTCCCTTCCCAGCCAGGCTCTTTGGCTCCCCTACAGTCTCCTGCCCCAACGATCCTACTGCCAACAGTATACCTCCCTCTTTTCCATCCAGCATCCGAGTCCCTTGCTCCTGAACCACCAACAGTGGTCTCACACCAATCAAAAAGATCTGATCACTGCCACAGTTGGTAAGAGACTCATGTCCATTCAGGGAGGGTTGGTTCCATTAGCTGCAGAGCTCCCACTGTCCCCGGCACTGACCAAACACAAGATTAGGTGTTGACCATCCTGGACTATCTTATAAGCTTCCTGGATGCACCTAGCCAGTCGCTGTCAGAACCTAAACACCAGGCTAGACAGGCATTCTGCCTGACCCGGTCCAGTGATTCTTATATTTCTGTTTTAACTAATTCCAAACCCAGAGGATTACTTTCCTTGGCAGGGATTTGAATCTCATGGCTAATCACAACCATGATTATTCATTTTTAATGTTCTTGCAAAATACAGATCCTGTAACAACCCAAACCATGAACCAGGGAGGAAATGACTGGACCAGTTCAGTTCATAAACAAGCTTCTCAATTTGCATTTCCCCAGTTCGTGCCCATCCCTAGTACCTATAAGGCTTGGCCATGGCCAAAGGCACAAGCCAAATAGCTGACGAGCTAAAGTTCGTCATGAATTTTGGCCTATTCGGGGTTTGCAAACCAAAGTTCATGAACTGAAGAACTGAGACAAACTTCCATGAATTTGATACAATTCGTTGTGGTTCGTGAAGAGCAGAAAGCAGGGGTTTACCCCTGCTTTCTGCTCTTCACCAGAAACAGATGAGTGGCTGGGAGCTCGCCGCAGCTCAGCTGTTTGGTTTAAATCTGCTCCCTGTGCCTTCCCAAAGGCACTTCACCCACCACCTTTCTGCTGGCTGCAGCTTGCCACAACCAGTACAAAGGTGGGAAGGAAGTCCCTTCCTGGGAGATTCCCCCATCCCTTCTGCTGGCTGGGAAGCTGCTCAGCTGTTTTTTGAGCTTTCTGCAAACCCGTTTAAAGGTACTGTGGTCCCGGTTTGCAGGGCCACGAACCCCATGAACCAGTTCAGTTCATAAACAAGCTTCCCAATTTGCATTTCCCCGGTTCGTGCCCATCCCTACTTGCAACCCAGGCTTTCACAGGAGCCAGCACACGAGTCCAGGACCACATCAAGATGCATTCTGCTGTTTGGTTGTTTATTGATTTATCCATATAGTTTCTTTCTTGGCTGTAAGATGCCTTGGGTCCTCTGGAGGGGAAACCCGCCCCCCCCCCCGCTGTGTTGCAACCCAGCAGATTAGGAAATGGAAGTCCCCACACTGCACAGGAGTTCTCACCGAGGGTACATGTGGCTCCTGCTTCACCGGCACGTGCTCTGACACTGTCCGAGCAGCTACACTGTCCAGACCAGTGTCCTCGGTCCGTGGCTTTTCCTTCTCACCCGCTCTTGCCTCCTCCTTAGTGGACAGTGGGTGCTGGTTACTCCCAGGTTGGCTTTTGTCCAGAGGGGTAGGGCCTGTTGGTATGGCAACCTTTGCACCACCCACTGCACCTTAAAAAGGGGGAGAAATGGGCTTGTGGTTAGCAGCACCATGTGCACCAGGAGTGAGGGACATGCTGCTCATCACCATCTACCATCAGGCTACCAAGACTGTTACTAACCAATGGCACAGCACTCCTTCCGTGCTTTGTTAAGGCTCCACAGAGGAGCTACCAGGAACACTCCAATATCCAAACAGCTGGATTCCTAATAAAACCCCACCGACCAAGCCACTTTCTTTGGCCCCAACCCAAACACTGATCACAGCACGAAAGCAGCCCAGACTGCTGATCTGCCCACAGTAGTTTCCTAAGTTCAGGATTTTCTGCCCAGGCATCCTGCCCAGTACTCCCCCCTCCTTCTCTGTGCCCCAAGAAACCCCAGCAGGGCACTCTCCAAAAAGCCAAGGTGCAGACCTCGTGTGGCAGGAGCCTCCAAGCCCCCCCAGCGCTGGCTGTGCCGCTTTTTCAGGCAGATGTCGATGCGAGCAGTGGTGAAGTTGTACGTGCACTGGTCGGGCTCTATGAGGTTCCTGCAAGACAGTACAGCAGGGGTTGGACAGCAGGTCATCAATGCACAGGGCAAAAGAAGGGGCAATGATGCACGAGGCTAAAGAATTAAACCCCGGTGGTGTGCCCCGCTTAGTCCATCAAAAGGAAAGGCAAAAAGAAGCTTCTCAGATGGGCAGCCCCATGCTGTCCACCTCTCTACCTTTTTGACAAAGTGACCTCGCGCTCGATAAAGGGGAGGAGGGAAGAGTGATGGCACACCTGCAGCCATCTAGCGGACTGGCAAGGCGCAATCAAATGCAGAGGCTGGAGCTGGCGCCACAGAAAGGACAGGTGAGTAAAGGGTGTCTGAGTACAGCGGCAGCTGCCGGGCAATATTACTGCATTTGCCCATGCATGTTAAGAAAGAAAAGCACTATAGAAACTGATGACTCAGACAAAAAAAAAAGAACTGAAAAATATAGTCATGCCTCCATGAAGGAGAGAGTAAGGATTCATTGAGCTCTTCTGTTCAGCACACCCAACCCTGGGGCAGAGTCAGAGAGCAGGGGAGGTATTTGGGGGCAATGCCCCTCCACTGGAAAATGCCATACCCTAACCCCACCTCCAAATTCTCAGCTTCGCTATAAAAAAATAGTTCTTTTGATTGTGAAGACAGAAGAGAAAATGTGCAAACAGGTTTTGTCCTGATCGCCTGGGAAGGAACAGGGAAGGGAAAGTTGCAAAGTGAGTGTGTGTTAACCTCTACCTGACCACACTCATTCTCCTTTTTCTTGTTTGTTTTTAGAGTGGTGAGAACCACTATGCAGAAAGTTGGGGTGAGATTCATACTATCTGGGGGCTGTCTCCTCTGTTTGCAGTGGGAGTAAATGAGCCAAATGGGGACAGGGGCAGGAGCAGAAAAACGCATGTCCAATTCACTTAGCCTGATACCTGGTTTTAACCATTAATTGCAAGCTACATTGCTGTAATTTGTCTGTGTAAAGGAATGTGTGCCTCTGAGCATACAGAGAATTGCCTTTTACTCACCATTAACCACCCACCATGACACTCCCCCCATATGGGATTAGGGCTAAAGGACTAAAGAGGCATAATGCTCACTCTGGTTAAAGCTCCAAAACTTTTTACAATAGTGCTTTACTACAGAATGCTAAAAGGGCACAATATCTAGGCAGTCTTAACACCCTCTACTGCTTGCTTCAGAAAAATAAAGGTCTTTGGGAAGATCTAAATACATCTGGGCCACAAATAATCAGTTCTCTCCCTACGTAGACTACAAACATGCTGCACATGTGCAGAGTGCTTTCCTCTCATTATGCACTAACCATGTGTATCTACCTACGCAGTACTACAGAACAATTTCTAGGTTGGGGAAAGCGATTTGCAAGCAGGTGCAACTTAGGAAACTTCAATTTTAGTAACTGGCACTGATCGACTGTGTTCTGCCCCTACTCAGCCCAAACTTTCCCAACACAGTTTTGAATCCTATCTTGCAGCCTTAAGCAATGCTACACCCCTTGAGAGAAGAATGTAGGTACACGAATCAAATCAACAAAAGATTCCAAGTATGACCTGGATGTCTGTTGGTGTTTCATATCACCAGTACATAGCTTCTTCTGAGACTTTTATGCCTCCCTGATTGTGATAAACTACTGCACATGAAAACTGGGAGATATAAGGCAATAACCAGCTCTAAAAGCTCAACTACATTTTGATTTCATGTCCATGTTATTTTCATTTTTTAGTCGGGTAAATAGCACATCGCATCAAAGCCAAAGCCACATGACTATGATTACACACAGGTAACATGTGGGGCCCACATGGTGATACATGAAGTACGGTTATTCTAATATAACCATTCAATGCAACATCTGCAGGCCCTTCCCCCCATGACACCATCAGCTCAGGTTTTATTATGATGAGTCCTTGCAAATATAGTGCCCGTCCCAGTGTGCTAATGCTCCCTTACCATATAATTTCTGGCTATGGGTTTGCCCTGGGACCCTGAGGCAAAGGAACGTATGTACACGATTACTTTGCAATGCACATACATTAATTCTGAAAGTAAAAGAGTCCATATTAAATTAGTACAGATATGCAGATGGGGAGGTCAAATACTCAGCATTAATCATGCTAAGAGAGTTGAATACCTGAGTTTTACTTGCCACCTGAACATTGTGTGAGAGCTGCAGTCTGGATGTAGTCGCAGAAAGTTGACATCACTGCAAAAAGAGGCAAGAATTTTATTGGAAGAAACTGATGATACAACCTGCGACCATCACTTGTTTCACAGGATAACACTGAATTCTGGGCCTACCCACACTGGGAGCCACCGTACCTCGTCTGGAACAACAGTGTGAAGTCTTGCTCCCGGAAAAGAACCCTGAATGTCTCTTTGTGAATCTCCTTCACATAAATGTGCACAACCATAGAATCATTCCCTTTTTCATATGAATCATTCTTCACAAATGTTAGGTTCACGATAGGCTCTGGTTCTGGGGGGAGAGAAAGAAAAGGTAACAGTAGAAGAACCCTGAAAAATGCCTCTGTCCCGACCCCCCCCTGCTGCTTACGAGGTTTCCCGAAAGATCACATTCAAAGCAAATTTGGTCACTGTGTACAGACAGAAAGGGTGCGGATTTTTGTACCACCCCACCCACATTCCTGCCCCTCCCACCAGACTTCTTTTTAAAATATATCTACAATAGGTGTATTGCTATAGCAATATAACACCATAGCATCATAACACTAGTTCTGATTTAAAAAAAAAAAAAGCAGGGAAACTGCTAAAGTGCTTTGCCAACTTAAAAAAATTAGTAGTGAGTATATCACTATATGGCAGAAATGAGATAATGCCCCCGAGTGGATTCTTCACTGCCACTATGAATGTCTCTGAATTGTCGGAAGGCCTTTGGCCAGCTGCACTCTCTCAGCTTAACTTATCTCACACAGTGGTCATGAGGATTAAATGGGGAAGAGAAAAACATGTATGCGACCCTGAGTTCGTCAGAGGATGTGTGGGGCTAAAAATGCACTGGAATAAACAGAGCTCGGCAACCCCCGCTTCTCCACTTCAAGGTGCAGGTCTTCTCACCATTCGGAACGGCCTCTAAAGCATCACTGTCCTGGGACCAGCCTCTCTTCTCAGTGTCCATGGATGGCAGAGAGGAGGAGAGGCCTTCACTGAAGGCAGAAGCAGCTTCCAGCCCCTGCGGAGCCTCAGAAGAACTGGCTGGTGGTGGGACCCTCTTCTCTGAGTAGGACCCAAGCCGGTGGGGCAATGAGCCTGCAGGTGGTGCAGGTGGCTGCATTTCCATGGGTACTGGCTCCTTCTCTAGGCTGTCAGCCTGGCAATGCAAGAAGGAAAGGCACAATTAGACCCAGAGCCCTTATGCTTCAGCAGCACTCCTCTCTAAGCCACCCCGCCGCTTCCAAAGGACAGCAGTCAGAGTTCCAGGGTGCCAGGACAGATCAAAGTCATCAGTGTGCAACTCGGGTGGGGGACATGCCAGACACACAAAAGAATTTCACACAGTCTCATCCCCACCAGAAGCAGCAATAAACCCATGGCGTAGCCAGACCGAATAAAGGACAAGTGCTGTTTGGCATCTCCTGTAGTCGAGGCTGCCATTTTTTTTTTGAAGCAGCTTCATACCAGTGACAGGAATTTGCTGGGAAGTTTTGAATATGGAAATTTTCTAATGCAAATGCACTTGAATTGGATTTAGTATGTTTTACTAGTACAAAGAACACAAAGCTAAAGAAGGATGTCATGCTGATTTGGAATACTGAGTAAATCCCGCAATAGCTTTTCTAGTACCCCAAACTACTTCAGTCCAAGTCATATGTTCCAATACATGTACAGCCTGCAGACATATACATATACATACATACATACACACATATATATATACATACACACATACATACATATACACACACACACACACACACACACACACACAGAGATAATACTGTACAAATTATATGTACATATTAATGTACATGGGTATCAATGTTCCCTCTAAGCTGTGGAGTCCTGTGAGCAAAAATTCTACTTTCTGAGTTACTGGTGTTAAAGTTGTGAGCAGGTGATTTGGCTACTGCATGAATTAGCTTGCTCTGGAGCCATCCTTCCTGAGCGAAGGCAAAAATGTGTGAGCCGGAGGCTAAAAAACTGTGAGCTAGCTCACACAAATTCAGCTTAGAGGGAACACTGATGGGTATACCTTCACACACATACACTTGCCTCTCAGGAACATTCACTTGAAAAAAAGTTAGCTACAGCTTTGAAACTGCTCAAAAATATCCACTGCGTGTTACCAATTACTTTTATGAAACAATGCAAGTTTAGAAGGGGGGGAAGTCCATTAAGAAACACAGCAGTGGAAGACTTTGTATCTGGCATCACTGCCTTAAGCTGCTGGTGGCAAGGGACGAGTGGCAATGTCTACTTGAATCATGCCCTGCTGCACCATGAAGTACCTGGGACTGAGTCTCTCCGGAGCAAGTCTCTGGGTCAGGTGGCCTGCCTGACTCGGGACAGTTTTCTTAAGGGCTGTCGCCCTGCCGCTCCTGCCCCGCAGCACGAGAATGCCATGCGGACCTTAATCCGTCAAGTGGGAGGATGAATCTCAGTGCAGACACGACAAGAGGCTGGCCCAGGAGAGTCCAAACAAGCCTCCACTCTCCCCACTTGGGGTGGGAAGAGCTGTATCGCTCGGATTTCGCAAGCTAGTTCCTGGACTCTTAAATAGGAGGATAACAGACCCCCAAACTAGGCCTTCTCTGGGAGACAAGTCTGTATTTATGATAAGCATCCCACTCTCTTCCTCCACGGAGAGAGAGAGAGGGAGACAATAAAGCACAGAACCCAGTATGGAGAAGTAGAATTAAGGGAGCAGCCTACTTTCTCCTCAACATAGGGCTTGAGTTTCTCAGACTTTTAAAGAAAAATAACTTGAGTGAGAAAATACTGATATCCTTCTATCGTTGCTCAATAGAGAGCATTTTAACATACTGCGTCTGTGCCTGGTTTGCCAGTTGTATGGCTGTGGATAGGAAAGCACTCCAGAGAGTTATCATCACAGCCCAGAAGATTATTGGCTGTCCTCTCCCATTCCTGGAGGAATTGTATAGCTCTTGATGTTTGAAAAAAGCAAAGAACATTTTGCAGGATTTGTCACACCCTGAACACTCCCTGTTTGAACTGCTGCCTTCAGGTAGAAGATATAGGAGAATTAAAACAAGGACAAAAAGATTAAAAAATAGTCTTTATTCGAGAGCTATTATTTCTTTAAATGCTGTCTGAAATTGGAATTTGGGTGACATTGGTGGTTTAAGTTGCAATGTGAACCTTAAGGGAGTTATGGGATGGTTGTGAATGGTTGTGTGAGTGTATATGAGTATGGTTGTAGATCACCGAAATGATTGCATTTTTAATTTCATTGTACTATGTACAATGACAATAAAGTATATTATTATCATCATCATCATCATTGAAGATGAAGCAGCAGTATCTACGCTGGCACTGGGCCAGAGGACAGCAGACCCACCTTTCCCTCCCATGCTCCTCACCTTCAGGTCCAGCCGGGCATCCCCCTGGGCACCGTGGCCATTCCTGTGATTCCCAATCATCTCACTGAGCCCTGAGCTCCCTGTGAGGCTGCTGTTGCCTTCCTCCTCAGGCAGCGTGGCTTTGACGTACACGGCCCTCTTGGCACTAGGGCCACTTGGCAGCCCGGGACTTGCTGGGTTCTTCTCTCCCGCCGGCTCCTTCCTCCCCGGGGCCCGCTTTGGGTTGGAGAGCTCTCGTTTGGCCCGGGGCGGCTCCGCGGTGCCATCAGGGTGGAGTTCCTCGGAAGCCTCCTCTGCCGAAGGGGGCTTCTCCTTGCCATTCTCCTTACACACAGTCCTCTTGGGCTGCTCCTTTGGGACCTCCTTGCTGCGCTTCTGGAGAAAATGTGAAAAAGCAGGATGAATGGGGATTTACTGAGCTAGGAAGGGCTCAGGAACCAAAGACAGAACAGGGTGTGTGTGGGAAGCAAGAGGGAAGCTTACCAAGAGCGAAGGCCAGATATGCAAAGGGATCTTTTTCTGAAACACCAGATGGAGGACGTTGCCCTTCTTCCACTGGACTTTACTACAGGAGCCCTCAATCTCCTCATAGAACTGGCAGCTCCACTGGCGACCATCTGGGGCGGAGAAGAGACGGGGCACATTAAAAGACAACAGGCTCTGACTTCCCCTCTTTGCCACAAATATTCCACATCCACAGTTGCAATTTTAGCTGTTGCTAATAGCTTTGAGAAAGAGAAGCAAAGGGGCCACAATTAGGCACCAGAGTACAACGCTATTTCCTAGATTGGGGTTGTGTTTTTTTTTAATACCCCATGTTTTAAAGGTCATCTAAGCGAACTGTGGGATAGAATGGTTTTAAGTTAAAGCTTAACCTTCCAGTACCCTGCACGAAGCTGTTGCATCCAGTGTGGCACAGAGATTACAGTGTCGCCCTAGGATTTGAGAAGACAACCCAGTTCAAATCCCTACTCTGTCATCAAGCTCACTGGGTGACCCTGGGCCACTCGCACCCTCTCAGCCTAACCTACCTCACAATATTGTTGTGAGGATGAAATGAAGAGAGAATGATTCTGTAAGCTGCTTTGGCTCCCCACTGGGGAGAAAAACCAGGATATGAACATCTAAACATCTAAATAAATCACCCATTTTGCACTTCATGGTATAATACGCTACACGTGTTGGACTCCCCCCCCCCAAATTAATGAAAGCCAATCCCTCTTTATTTGCCGCCGCATACAGTAATTTCTGCATGGACAGTGACCAGCTGCTAACCCAACAAAACCCAAACGAGGCTTTAGGGATTTCAGAGTCCTAACCTGGGAACCAAAAAAGCAACATGAATTGACAAGAGCACAGTACAGGGGTCTCTCCATCTTGAGAAACATCTACCCTGTTCTCTTTCCGGGAATCATTAAGCAAGAGTTCAAACCAACTTTTCATTCTTAACTGCAGTTGATGCTACTTCCCAAACAGTGACAGGCTGATGCACCCTTTGAGTCTCCGGCATGTGAGTACTGAAGGGGCAGCTAAGCAAAACTTGAAGCACTTCTTTTTATCGTCTCCAAAATCATTGCCAAGCCTCATTCTCACTCACTCTCTTCCATCACCTGCTTTCTACCTAACACAGACAGTTCTTTGAGGCACACGGAGAACTCCTTCTCTGTCTTCTTCAAGGTAGGAATCACACTAGAGAAAGGCGACATTAGCCCTGGCACGCCTTCTCTTCACCCACTGCGCAGACCTATAAACTGAAGAACTGACCCCCTCAAAGTCCCCAATCTATCTTCTTGTGAGTGCCTAATTTTCATGTCTGTTACAACAGGCAATGGCAGGGCAAAGAGGCCCAAACCTCTACACCCAGCAAACACCTGCTGCTGCTTCTGATTTCCTCCTTCCTACCTTGCCCTGCTTGAAGTTTTGCTGTAGGAAGCGTTGTCTCTGTTGCTGGCTATTGTTTTGAGTCCCACAAGGGAACCAACTGTCAAACAAACCCCCCCCCCCCAAAAAAAAGAATCTATTCTCCTACTTGAAGACAGTAAGAGCTACAGGAGAGTCAGTCTGCACCACACACCAGGTAAATTGACAATGCAGCTGGTGTCTGTGAAAGAGGTTCCCACTTCCTCCGTCTTCACGGCCCCGCTGCCCAAGTTCAGCTTCACGATTACCTCATGGGCATTCTGCTTCCAGTCCAGCAGCAGGTCTAGGAAACAGAAGAGGAAAATGCAAGGTCTCTTTATCCTCTGCCAAACCAGAAGGTCAAAAGCAACTAAAGAAACCACCAGCGTTTCAAGCCGGAGTCAGGGGCTTGAAACGGCATGCAAAATAGCTAGTCACAAGATACAAGTGAGGTGGGCTCCTTGTGCAAATGACAAGAACAAACCAGGCTATATGCAACTCATTGCCATGCGTTGTCTATTTATTTTGAAAATTTCTGTGCAGCCTCTCCAGAGAACCTGCTCACAGAGGCTTTGATTAAATAAAATATTATAAAAGCATAAAGTGCTTTAACAATTGTGAGAAGTTTTTAGAAGCATTAAAACCACACTCAGTGATGCATAGACAGCAACTAGGATACATTTTTAGACTGATTAGATAAATACATGGGAGGACAGGGCGACGAATGGCTATTAGCCACGGCACCCCCCACCCCAAACACACAGTCTGTTTAAGATACAGCATGTTACATGTGGTGCAGTCAACCCTGACAACTATGTGACTGGACTGCTGTAAGGATTACCTGGATTACGTTTGTGGTGCACTCTGCAGCAATTACGTAGTTCCTAGATGGTAGATTAATCAATTCCGTGAGAATGGAGAGCACCCTCCCACTTGTGAACCTTCTTGAACACGTGAAGCTACTTCATTCTGAATAGGACCATGGGTCCCTCAAGGTTAGCACTGTCTACTCAGACAGACTGGCAGCAGCTCTCCAGGTTCTCAGGGGAAGGTCTTTCACACTACCTACTATCTGATCCTCAAATGGTGATGTCAGGGATTGAACCTGAGACCTTTTGCATCCCAAAGGGGAGGCTCGACCATTGAGCCATGGCCCCTCCTCCCCTTGCCTGAATCCCATCTGTCTGGCAGCCACTGGCTGAGGTGTGCTGATCATTGGGTTACACAGCATAGGAAATTGTGGGTTCTCGTGCACCCCCAACCCTGAAGCATACACAGCTGCCTGGATGTTCTCTTTCTAGAGACCTAAACGTGATCCAGTAAGCCATGGCTACGAGGCCTTCCATGCCCCTGACCTCCATCACCACCCCCTGTTCCTATTTGTTGTCACAGGGCTGGATGTGAGCAAGGGCAACTGTCCAGAATATTCCCACCCCACTCAATCAGTCACATTCTTTATGTATGTTTTGATTTATTTTTCAGATTTTCCTCCTGCCCTTCCGGCCGGAGCCGACTCAGGGCGGCTTACATAAAAGCAGATAGCCACATTAAAAACATAATTGCAATTAAAAGAAATTATAAAATCATAGTAAAGTGCTAGTAATTGTTGTTAGTGTTCGTATGACGGTAGCAGCCAGTATACAAAGTTCTCAGCTTGGAGTCAGCTCTCAGTGTTCATTTTTATTGTCC